ATATATATATGAATTTGAACGGATGGTGTTTTTGGCCTCTAGGGACCTCAAAACGAAAAAAAAAATCGGTCCCGCGTCCAGGTCTTACCATGAGTACTACGGTAATAGCTTATTCCCTATATGGGAAATTCGCTAAAATACATACAACAGTTTTTATTACCATATACATATTCGGTGTACAACCTACACTAGGCCTAGTACTTGAATTGCATGTCTCCTCGCTACTTAGAATTGGAACTCACTAGATCGGTCACAGAAGTTACAATCATTCAACTTGAAGTGAAATCAACTCAAATTTCAATAAAAAATGAAACTTATAACGAAAAAACACTGAAACTAAACTTAACCAAACACAACACAAAATAAACAACAACAGACGCTGGTAATAAGCGATTGCGTCAACATGACAATGTCGTCAGCTGATGCTTTATTTTCATAGAGTTTTAAGTTTTCCCAAAGGCGTATAAATAGATGGAATGCACATCAATTGACAGATTATTCATTTCTGAACCGAATAAATACTATATTAAGTTAATTTTTTTTTTTCATTTTTGTGCAAAATCGGCGAATTCCGTTACGTCGTAAATGAGCCCGATATCGGGCGCTGCCGTTTCGGCCGCGGCTAAAATTGTCCGATATCGGGCGCATGCCAGCTCGAGGGTTAATGCAAAATTTCAGCTAGGCTAGGTTTTTTTAACACAGAGGATACGCGTCCGGTAATAGGACGTGGATAAGGCAGTGACGTCACCGGTTTGTGGGGGCCCGAATCCCGCAACGCCATTAACAGAACGATACAATTTAGGTCTACAACCATCTGTGTTCGTGGTGTAGTGGATAGGGTGATCAGCTGATATGCAAGAGGTAACTTACCTGGTTCGAATCGGTAACCTTAACTTTTTGTCAAAGATTTTGCTTTGAATACCGTGTCTTCTTTACATATTTTGTTAGAATTTTTTGCATTTTATAATTTTATTTTATGAACAGAATTTAACATTTCTATTCGATTTTTTGGTAAATATGCATTTTAGGGTTTGCACGCGATTTTTGAAATTTTTTTTTTCATTCTACTCGAAATTTAACGCTGATTCCGAAAATGACGTTCTTTTTCCGCGGAAAACGACCATAACGCGGAAAAACGACCAAAACGACCAAAAACTCTTTTTTTACCAAAACACGTCATGTGGGTACTCAAATTAACCGTAATATTAAGCAGATCACGACTATGCAAGAATTTTTTAGATCCGAGGTCAAATAAGCGAGATTTTCACGTAAATATGCGATGCTATTTTGGATTTTTGCTCTAACTTTTGTCTGTGTTAAAATACCAGCTGATCAGGATCAGCTGGTCATTATTTTATTATAATTGTTTATGTTTTAATTTAACAGGTAAAAGGGATGATACTATGCATAACCTAACTTAACCTAACCTACCCTAACCTAACCAACCTAACCAAACCTAACCAAACCTAACCTAACCAACCTAACCAACCTAACCTAACCTAACCAACCTAACCTAACCTAACCTAACCAACCTAACCTAACCAACCTAACCTAACCTAACCAACCAACCTAACCTAACCTAACCAACCTAACCTAACCAACCTAACCTAACCAACCTAACCTAACCTAACCTAACCAACCACACCAACCTAACCTAACCTAACCAACCTAACCTAACCAAACTAACCTAACCTAACCAACCTAACCTAACCTAACCTAACCTAACCAACCTAACCTAACCTAACCTAACCTAACGAGCAGCATGGCAGTGCTACTACAACCAATGAATAGGTTGGTACTGAAAAATTTCCCAATTTCAAGCATATCTCTCATAATTCTCCGGACTAATTACCCATTATTTTTTACACATTAAATTACAACGATAAACCACGTTAGATGTCTCCCCACCCAAAACCCCGAATTCCCACCTGTCCCCTAGTGAGTTGGAGTTATTGCTGGTTGTATCACGTTTTCGTGAATATCTCGCTTATTTGACCTCGGATCCAAAAATTTCTTGCATAGTCGTGATCTGCTAAATATTCCGGTTAATTTGAGTACCCACATGACGTGTTTTGTTAAAAAAATATTTTGGTCGTTTTGGTCGTTTTTCCGCGTTATGGTCGTTTTCCGCGGAAAAAGAACGTCATTTTCGGAATCAGCATTAAATTTCGAGTAGAATGAAAAACAAAATTTCAAAAATCGCGTGCAAACCCTAAAATGCATATTAACCGATTTTTTCATTATCAGCAAGTTCGGTTGGTTAGGTTAGGTTATGACAGTAACTACCGGACGCGTACATCCTCTGGGTTTTTTTAACAGTTCGCAGTGCCTAAAGTAGGTAGGCTACTGTTGATCATCGTTCTTGAAAAATGTGTAGGCTAATAACTTACAACTTTTTAGTGATTATACTGAACAGTCCATCCCTAACCGAGGTCTCAGGCGTATGGTAGCCTAACATATGTTCATGGGTCAATACCTCCCATGAAGGAGTTATTCAAATCTATTATCTTTGGGTTTCCTTTTACAATCACCTCATCATTATTTCTTACTACCATACTGATTTTGCAACACACTTAGTTGACAGAAGAAGTAAGTTACTGGGTTCTTTTGGGAGGCTTTTTCCTTGTACGTAACCATCAGTTTTGTGGTCTTTACGGATGTAAACTTTTTGGCCTAACTTACTTCAAATTTTTTTAGAACATGGGGTATACGTTTCCTGTTTTTCCTCATAGTGCCTGTAATATAATTCATCCTTTCATACAAATAGTCTGCGAAAGGTATGGACATAAAGAAATACCGCCATAGTCTATGTTTGTTCAATGTTTTTTGAACCCAGTGACAAGACCTGTATTATACAGTAATTATTTACCTATTTTGCCTGAAGGTCTTGTAGTTAACACTCGATTAATACTCGATGCGCATTTCGCCGCTCAGTGCGGCATCTTCATAGAGTATCTTCTGAAACACTACTGTTACTATGTACATATTTACAATATATTTTCCAGTCACTAATCGGTCACATTCGCGGTCGCGGTTGCCCGGCGGCGACACGAGCGGCGGGGTACATTTCGTTCCGCACTGTTGACGTGATGGACTTGTACTGCTCGAAATGCGCATCGAGTATTAATCGAGTGTTAACTACAAGACCTTCAGGCAAAATAGGTAAATAATTACTATGTTTGTTGTCTTATTTTATCGTTGTTGTTATTGCCTGTTGTAAATTTACCATCATTACTGCTTGTTACTTAGTTACCATTATTACTAGGCATAGTCTGCTTTTGTTGTTATTTATTGTAGTGCTTAGGTCCCACTCATGTATTTATTGCCAGCTTCCTTATTTATTATTATTGCACGACTTTTGTTACCACTGATATTAACTTATTATTTGCCACTTATGTATATAGTTCATAGTTTGACAAAATGGTATTAATGGAGAAACCGTTGGAATAAATAAATAAATAAACACATGATCACTGTTGACAAACATCAGACGACGCCATCTCGGGAAATCTCTTCCACCACAAGAAAAATCCACAAAGAGAGGCAGTCAAAGCTCTAGCTACATGAAGCTCAGAGGATGCTGATTCCATTGGTGTGTTATTTTGGCTTTTGGACGTAGCTGGCCAGTAAACAAACATTTAGCAGACGTCTTATATATCGGACTACGGCAGCCAAGAGGTTAAATAACATACAATTATTTATGAATAAACTGAAAGTAATAGGCCTAAGTAAAAAACAAGTAACAAAAAGTTTTCAAATCTTTGTCAATATATTAAGTCAACAGTTTTACAATAATTCAAATTCAAATTAAAATATATTTATTTAGGATGTTACAAGCATGGCCTCGCCAAGTTTACAAAACTTGTCGGCGAGGACCAATAGATTCAAAAAAATGACAAACAAAGTTTACAGATTTTTCTCTTTTACTTTTGTTTTGTTTTCTGAGTACAATGAATTAATTATGAAAAACTAGTTCTAAGGCGGTTCGTGGCAGGCACTTATTCAATAGAATCATTATATTATAGAATTATTTATAGAATCATTTTCTTATTCTCCTTGACATTGACCTAGGGATATTATTTTCATTTGTTCGGCTAGCAATATGGTTCATTTAATGTCATGTGGTTGTTTACGTTCTTGATATTCAGACATTTGTTTGTGTTCGTACTTTCAGTGGTAATAACTTAACTCATTTAACTAATAAATGGGGGTGGCATATTCTCAAGTGAGATTGACAGACTTTTGTGCGAAAATTACAGTGAAAGTGACGGCGAATTGGGCAACGCCGGCGTAGGCCTAGGCCTATCGGACGACAGTGGTGATGAGACAGTGTTTTACATAAATAGCTGTAAAACATAGACTAACTTATTGTGGATGTAGGCTAATTATAAATTAAAAAAAATTATGTAGGGAATCAAATTTAAAGTAAGGGAAAAGCAAGAAATACAGTAGGCCTAACTTAGTAAAAATTTATTCATACTAAACTTTTTGACATTGCTTTTGAAAAATGTAGGCCTAAGTTGTTACAAAAAAATTTTTCAATAATTTTAAAAATTAATTGTTTAAGATGAAACATGTTTATTACAATATGAAATTTAATTCAAATTAATTTAGCTTACATATAACATTTTATATACAGGTAAAAAAGCCAAATATTTATGAATTCTTACTGAAACAACACAAATTAGCCATTTTTATTGGATTCTAAAGGCTATGCTATTGAACTAAATACCAAGTCTCCAATGGGTTAAGCGATGATCGCGTGGTTGTAGTTTTCATTACTAGTTTCAAAAGTGACTTATTGCGGGGAGAGATTGAATTTTGGAAAAAGCTATTGAGCCAGCAATCACACTTTTGAGACGTGTATTGAACATTATTTGGGTCAGTTTCTGAACTGAGCTATAGGCCTACTAATATTGATTGAAACTATCAATTGAAAATATTGATTAATAATCAATAATATCGAGGTGTTGGGCTTGCCGAGTGCGATATCGGTGGTAGGTCTAAAGCTCTCTCTTGTCAAACAGATGAACATTATCTTTCAGTACTGTAAGGATGTTCAACATACTTTTGCTAAAGACATTTGACCTGTGATGCAAAAGGCACTGACGCCATACAACCTACAACCACTGAACAAAGTATTTGAAACACTTGGACGTATTGTATTAATGTTTCAGGTAATCGGCCATCGCCAACGACACAGGTGAATTATCACCAGCAACCTAACAGACCTGGTGCTGGTAATGTGGCCCAACAGAACCGCAACGCTGGATACTCCACCAGCCAACCACCTGTTACGTACAACAACCCAACGCAATCATACAGCACTCCAGCCTTCTCCACCACTCCACCCCAGCCTCCACCAAAACCTACTACTCCAGCTCAGGTACGAGTAGAACCATAATCAAAGTGTTGTTTATACTTTAGAATAAATGGTTCAGTACTAGTTTGGGTTATAGGCCTACAAACTACTTTTTTGTATGTAAGTTATAATCTGATGAGTTTTCTAAAGAGTTTAAAGTTGATCATTTTGTTATAAAGCTGTGATCATAATCTTTTGAAGTTAGGCTATGGTGTTTACCTGGAAAAAAATATGATTCAACTTTTAGACTTTATAGGGTATAGGCCTAAAAGTTGTACTTTTAAACTTAGGCTATTATAGCCTACTGAGGATCTAGACAAAAAATGTTAGGTATCTCGTGCTTGTGTATCTTATGCTTAATTTTATATATTAGTACACTTAATTACTCGTAGATCCTAATGATTTTGCCAAATTGATTTATTTTTAGAGAGAAAAATGGTTGAAGTACCATTGTGTTTTTTCTTTTAACCCTTTCAGTGCTATGAAAGATATATCGTTGTTTTAAAAAATCTCTAAGGGATATAGAGAGGAAGGTTATTTTAGCAAAACGGCCATTGGTGACCTGCATGTTCATAGGATACACTATCAACCACTTAGCTAAAAGATTCGCCCAATCCGATAATTTCGAGGTGTTTGTCTAAACCAAGGATTATGAACACCTCACTATGCCCCAGTGGTTGTAGTATATTGCTACAAACACACAGGTCACCAATTATTTGCCACACTGGACGGGATTCAAACCCGAGCAGACGAATGCCACTGGCCAAGTGACACACGCCCTAGCCTTCTCGGCTATCTGTGCTTGAAGACCGAGGAGTCAAAAACCGGTATTTAAGCTGACGCCACCAATTGCGAACAGATAGCGCTACAGATGGTTGTTCAATGCGTTACTAGGTAGCAGCACCAGTTAGTCACGGACTATTTAGATGATATTTTTAGTTGAAAACACAACAGTGATCATAAATGTGTTCCTGAGACTTTGCTGCAAAACATTAGTTTCCCTAAAATGGCGATATTACGATAACCTCGTCCAACTAAATCAAAGTTAAATTCAATATTACATTGTAAACTATATGTCTTTTGATTTTATGAGATTTTTGTTTCAAACAATACTATCAGAACATAAAAATTTATAGGAAAACCAGGAAAATTACAACAAAAACTAAGTTTTATTTAATTTTTACTACAAATACCGGGATTTATCTTTTTATATATTTTCTTAATGTCTTATTATTCAAAATTAGCCTAATTAATAAAATAGTGACAACATTACAGTTAAAATTCAACAACAGGTAATGGAATTAAAAGGCAAATAAAAAAGTCTTACGAAATATGAATTATTGGCCTAGCACTGAAAGGGTTAAGTAGTGGGGTCGTATAGCTGCATATAGTGGCAGAATATTTCAGTTCTGGCAGAGAGGCTGCAATTTTAGGTGGTTATAGTATACAAGTTTCTGAACCTAAAACCGCCCAGACCCCAATTTTTAAGGACCTTGGTCGTCCGTAATGACGTCATCAAAATGGCGGTCGTAAGAGGATGCTGGGTCCCCATGAATTGGCTATAACGACCGAATGCCTGAACCGATTTTCATGAAATTTGGCACACAAGTGCTTGAATACATTATCTCGGCCTGGGTTGAAAATGGTCAAGTTACATCAAGTCATTTCAAAATGGCAGCTGTTCAAAACTAAAAAAATTATGAGTAAAATAATTGTGAATTGTTTTATACAGGGTGAGTTTTAAAAGAGTTCCCCCCCTACTTTTGTATACATTTCTTAAGATTTCAACTTTGAACCATGTCAGATAATTGTAGAGTAGCAAGTATTTCATTTTGACTGGGTTTACATTTTTGGCCGCCATCTTGGATCCGCCATTTTGGATACAAAGTTATTTTTTCAAAAGTAAAGATAGGGTTGTGACCCACCGTTTCAAACTAAACCTTTACGCTGAATACGATGCTGCAATCCGTTTAAAAAAATGTTGATCCATTCTAAAGTTATGAGAACTTTTTATAACTTCATTTTTAGTCCATTATAACATTGTGCATTTACAAACTAAGGCCATAATCTCAAAATAGTGCTAGATAAAGATAAGTGGACACCACCATTCATTGTTGACCTATTTTCACTCGGTTATGACGGATGTATTTTTTTCAGCCGCCATCTTGGATCCGCCATTTTGAAATGTGATAAATTATTTTAAATATGAAGGTGGTGTTGTGACCCATCATTTTCAACTACTTTTTTATGTTGAATTCAATGCCGCAATCCGTTTTCCATTGTCATGTTTGGTTTTTGAAATATTGACATTTTAAATCAAAATATTTGTATAATGGACTAAAAATAATTTATCACATTTCAAAATGGCGGATCCAAGATGGCGGCTGAAAAAAATACATCCTTCATAACCGAGTGAAAATAGGTCAACAATGAATGGTGGTGTCCACTTATCTTTATCTAGCACTATTTTGAGATTATGGCCTTAGTTTGTAAATGCACAATGTTATAATGGACTAAAAATGAAGTTATAAAAAGTTCTCATAACTTTAGAATGGATCAACATTTTTTTAAACGGATTGCAGCATCGTATTCAGCGTAAAGGTTTAGTTTGAAACGGTGGGTCACAACCCTATCTTTACTTTTGAAAAAATAACTTTGTATCCAAAATGGCGGATCCAAGATGGCGGCCAAAAATGTAAACCCAGTCAAAATGAAATACTTGCTACTCTACAATTATCTGACATGGTTCAAAGTTGAAATCTTAAGAAATGTATACAAAAGTAGGGGGGGGGACTCTTTTAAAACTCACCCTGTATAAAAAAATTCACAATTATTTTACTCATATTTTTTTTAGTTTTGAACAGCTGCCATTTTGAAATGACTTGATGTAACTTGACCATTTTCAACCCAGGCCGAGATAATGTATTCAAGTACTTGTGTGCCAAATTTCATGAAAATCGGTTCAGGCATTCGGTCGTTATAGCCAATTCATGGGGACCCAGCATCCTCTTACGACCGCCATTTTGATGACGTCATTACGGACGACCGAGGTCCTTAAAAATTGGGGTCTGGGCGGTTTTAGGTTCAGAAACTTGTATACTATAACCACCTAAAATTGCAGCCTCTCTGCCAGAACTGAAATATTTTCCTGCTACCCAACCTGACTAAAGGGTCCATTTCATATCAATAATATTAAACTTGGCAAATATTCTGTTCCAAGTTCACTTTTCATTCCCCAATTATCTTGAGTCATTCCTAAAGAGAGAAAGTAAACTTGTGATACTATAACTGAGCCAAAAAATGTTTGTTTTAAAAATGTAAGGGCTGAGTTGAAATGTAGCTTAAAAAGTTTTCTGTATCATTCCATTAAACAAAACCACTAATTTGGACACTCTTGCAGTTGTTTAAAATAAATTGTTTTAACCAGGCCTACCTGGCCGTTATGAAAATTTAACTTGTAACAGAGTACCTATACAAATTGGCCTATATAACTAACCTATGTTTGTGACTAGTTACGACACCATTCATTGATTTTCTTTTTTCTCTTTTCCCTGGGTATCTCAGCTATGCATGAGATCGGTGGGGAAGGTTAGTGGCATTGGCCATTTTCAACCAACACTGTTCCCAAGCAGTAAGCCACTAGGGAAGCTCTGCGCTTATATTTCATCCGGAATATAAGCGTGGCGCGCACAGCAAGTGTAATTGTATTGTGAGGTGTTGGTTGGTCGATGAGGCCTTGTGTCAATATCATCTCCCCGTGTTACTGTTTGCATAGCTTCATTCCCATTTACAGCAGCCACAACAGACACAACCACAGCAAAAACCGCAGCCCCCACTACCACAAGCCCCTGCTCCGACTCCTAGTACTCCAGCGGTCAAACCAGCAGTCGTAAGCTCAACCACCACCCCAGCCGCTACCAACGTTGTTCCTAAACAGGAACCGGTAACACCGGTCTCTACTCCTGTAAATGCTGCTGAGAATGGAGAAGGAAATTCCGTTAACAAAACGACACCACTTTGGAAGAAGCGTCCTGGTGGGTATTACGACTTATTTAATCACTTAAGATTCTTCACTCATCTTACAAAAAGGAAAATCATGTCTTTAAATTCTGCCATTTTCAACACTTTGTAGGGACTGAATTTAAAAAAAAAATATGTTTGTTCTTGTAGTTAAAAGCATGTTTACACGTTCTCACAACATCATCTAGTTTTAATTCCAAGATTTTTTTTAAAGTACCTTAATAAGTTAAATAATAGTAGATAATTAATAAGTAAATAAGTTAAAATTAAATTTTTAACAGTTTAAACCTTAAAAAAATTGCTGTAACTCTTTCCCTAAATGAAAAAAAATTAAAGAGAAAAAAATAATCAATGTAAAATGACAGATAAAAAATAATGCGTAAAGTTCAATCAATAACATTGGCAGGTACAGGTAAATATGGACAAACCATTTTCTGGCTTAAAAAGCCTTGCAATGAGTGGATTGTTGTGCACTACCATTATACTACCAGTGTTCTATACTCTGTTTACAAAATTTAGTTGCCAAAAAGTCAATCAGGTGCAACGTATACACCAAGTTACAAAGAGATAGTGGGGGAACTTTCCCTCAAACCGCCTAAATTTTGTCAATGTACTATACTGTATTTTGATGTTATTAGCTGTGGCATTGATATGTTGCTGGCCTATATAATATTAACTTCTGTACTAAGCAAAAACATCAAGCTGAACATGAATTAAATGTTAATACATAGAATGTATTGAGATACCTTGTGTGGCTTTGTTTCAGCCTACGACGAACTTATTACTAAGCCACGAGCATTTTTTCCTAACCTAATCTTCTAGTGTAGCTGGGTCCAATTTCAAACCATCAAAAAGCTTACTCGGGAATCGCCAATGCTCTGATCATAAGGCACAATAACTATTCACCATATATTTATGCTAGAAGCAGTACTTTTTCTAAACTTACAAATCTCAAGCAATTTTAACTTAAGTTCTTGACAGAGTTTAGTCTGAGTCAATTCTTGAGAAATTAACACATGTTCTTGTACTGTAGTGCTAAAGATCTCAAACAAGGTGAAACGGGCTCGTCAGAACGCCAAGCTACGCCGGATTCTCAACCCCAAGAACGCTTTGACATTCCTCAATGAGCTGCGGCCGGGTACTGGCAAGTTTGCGGTCAAAGAAGATTCTGCCTGGGGGGGCTATGTAGCCACTGTGGAAGTGAGTATGCAATATTTAAAACACTGACTGTTTAAAACACACTATTTTTGTTAAAAGTTTTATAGCCAGTTATAAAACAACAAATGAATTTAGTTTAATGACCCCACGTAGAGGGCTGATGTAAAATGCTAATTTCTGCCAAATATGCCAAACTGAAAGGACAACTTGTCTAGTATTGTTTGTCATATCCTTTAAAAAACTATAGCATTGCCCTTTATGTTTGGATTATTCAAAAGTATTCTATTTCATTAAGAGATTGTTACTGCAGGTTTGTATGGATGGGATGTCTACTTCAGTATCAACACGTCAATGACACGTCAATGACACATCAATGTCTGTCATATAGTTGATGTATGGAATGTTTGCTTCTCAGAACATTAATTATATGATATTCAGTTTTACGACTTTGAAACTACCTGAATACCCATATTATTTTTTATCAACTGTAATATGTAAGAGTACAACGGACTCCCATGTTCCTAAACACCATTCTATACTGTATTTCCCCAAAAATTAAGCTCCATTCTTACATGAAGCAGAAACCAGCAGTGTGTTGTAAAATATAGGGGCCACAAAGTGTTATAGAGAAACTTTTATTCTCCAGGTTGACGGAAAACAGTTCACTGGCCACGGTTTGGGTGCTTCCAAAGCCAAAGTTCAGGCTTCAGAGAAAGCCTTGAAGTACCTTCTGTTGGAACAGCTGTCCAAAGCTCAGCAAGCTTCTGCTGAAGTCAAGCCGGAACTGGAGGAAGGTAAGTGGAGACAAGGTCTCATTAATGGTTTTTTTTTGTTGTTTTTTTTTTGAAGGGCCTAGCTAAGGAATACATCAAGGAAGAAGGAATAGATGCACAACAAATTTATCCAAAAAAGTTTCAGTTGGTGGTAAGCTTGTAATAAAAGTTCACAACTCAATAACATTGATATTTTTTCCTACAAAATCGGAAGCTTCTTTCAGAAGTTTATTGTGGTTTGAACTTTTTTGCGCTTTTGACTACCTGGAACACTTCTTAGATAAGTTAATCAATTTAGTCTTCCTTAGTGCGTTCCTGTTAATAGGAACTATTTCATTAGATGATAATAACTAATTAGTACTACATAAAAGTAATATATACAGAGGAAACAATCTTATGGAACAACCGTGCGCTGCCTGGGAATGGTGGAACAGAAATATACTAGTACCAAGCCAGAAAGAGCCCAAACGGCTATTGTTTACAACAGCAATTGTACCGCACAGGCTCTTCCTACAGCGTGAGCGCTATAGTACATGATGTGAGGGGGAGATGAGAGCGGAAGGGAACGATCAATACAATTTGAACTAGACACAAGTGACTGTTGCTATAAACTACAGTACTTAAGTGTACCTTTGAATGTTTCCTCTGATTCCCTGTGTTGGTAATTACTTGTCCATTTGCTTAACCTTTTTTTATCCAAAACACTAGTGTTAGGTGGTCTTATTGGTAGGGATAGCTCGATAGCTGTACTGGCTGAAATGTTTTGTACAGAAGCACGGTTAGTTTTTCCATAATAACTTATTTAATTAAATTCTGGCTGGAGGAAGAGGTACAGCTGCTACAAATGCAGCATACACCATACCCAATTCGGGCAATTCGCTTTGTTTCTTCCTACCGCTTCCAGTCATATCTCTAATAATCTTCCTTGCCTTTTTTCTAGAATAATAAAAGTTATTAGTAAAATATTTTTTTATTGTTCAAGCATTTTAATTTAATTTTTGAAAATTCTTACAGAAGATGACAACATGGATGGTGGTGAGGAATCAAAAGAAAAGAATCGGAAGCCAAAGCCTGAGGATGAAGTTCCGTGGGGTAGTTTGGCTGCGTTTGCTCTTCACAAACTGTTCACAGAATGGCAAAAAGAAGGACCCCCAGAGGCTCCTGTGGTACAGATGCCATTGTCATATCCTGCTGAGAAGGTATAATCACACACATCCTCTATACTAGAAACTAGAATTTGTAGCAGTAAGCAAACAATAACATAAAAATTTCACAATCATCTTTCCTAGTTGACTGAGGAAAGAATAATTTTCTTATTTTGGTGTGTTGCCGGTAGTAATAAAATCAAAATTAACAGTTGATAATTAAATATTTCCGGTTAAATATTTCAAAGGAAAGCCAAGTGGCTGATTAGTATTTTTACATTTCTCCCCTTATAATTCACTGAATATTTATAAATATATGGAAAAAATACCAATACCCACACCACGCAGCATTGGCAGGTTTGCTAAGCGAATTTCCATTTGTCTGAATTGATTTTCAATTTAATGTATTTAAATAACATTAGGTTTAACGATTACCTAGGTTTGCTGCTAAAAGAAGACTATTAAAGTGGGGGGTTTTAGTAAAATATTAATAGCTTAGTATAGAATATATAAATTGTCCAAGTTTGATCAAAATATATCCATGAAGAAGCAAACGAACATTTTACAAAATTCTCCATAACAATAACATGGGAATTTTTAATTTACAGCTTTCTCTTTTACCAATGAACGTACAAAAACACTTAGATATACTAAATTATTTGTTTTATAAGCTCTTTAAAAAGGTCTAGAGAGAAATTGGTAAATTATGTGTTTTGAGGGCGAAAAATTAGAAAAACCATTTTATTACCCCATAAAACCCATTCCTATGGTCCCGATCATGCTAGTTCGTGAAGTCATTCAAATTTATCAAACCGCCTTTGAACAAAATTTAATCAAAATCGGACAAAAATTACTCAAGTTGGCATTCACGGATGTATACATACATGTATAAAAATTTGAACGAATGGTGTTTTTAGCCTCTTGAGACATCAGAATGAAAAAGTAATTCACCATGCCACCTACGGTAATAACTACTTCCCTATGGGAAAATTTACTAAAATCATCAACATTTTTGAGTTTTCTATAAATTTAGTACCTATGTTAAAACCCTTTTAGTTCTAATAAAGAAAACTGCATCCTCCATTGCTGTAAAAATTAAGATTTTGGAAGTGTTTGCAATTTATGTGTTTTTCCTCCTAAACGATAACTTTCTCAGATAAGCTACCTAGTTGAACTTTTTCCTCTGTAAAAAAATCTTAACAATATTCCCATTAGTTTTAGCAAATTTCCCATATAGCAGGGTGTCTACCAGTCGGGAATTCCGGGAAATTCGGGAAAAAGTCGGGGATTTTGAAAGGTCGGGAAAAGTCGTGAAAAAGTCATGAATTTCGGCCGAAAGTCGGGAATAATCTAACCTTTCAAAATTAGGGATGAACGGGTCCCAAAACTTAAAAAAATGTTCTGGATCTTATATCCCTGATCATTGGGACGGGATTACATTTGAGGGGTGGGGGATGAAACGAAAATGCATCGGAATTCCAATTCGATTCAGTGATGATCAAAATAACGATTTGAATCATGGGCATTCAGTGTCCATAATATACGTTTTTGAATCCGCATCCATACGTTATGGAATCAGTATCTATATACGGTATTGAATCAGTATCCATATACGTTATTGAATCATTATCCAAAAAGCTTTTTGAATCAGTGTCTATACGTCATTGAATCAGTATCCATATACGTAGTTGACTGTTACATTGATAATGTTACTTTGACTATCAGTATCCATATAACTTATTGACATTATTCAAATGATTGACATTAATTATATAAGCTATTCATTGAGATGAGACATTGCTTAGCCATACAAGTTATTACCATCCAAGTACATGGCATACACTGAGACATTGCTTAGCCATACAGGTTATTGCCATCCAAGTACATGGCATACACTGAGACATTGCTTAGCCATACAGGTTATTGTCATCCAAGTACATGGCATACACTGAGACATTGCTTAGCCATACAAGTTATTACCATCCAAGTACATGGCATACACTGAGACATTGCTTAGCCATACAAGTTATTACCATCCAAGTACATGGCATACACTGAGACATTGCTTAGCCATACAAGTTATTACCATCCAAGTACATGGCATACACTGAGACATTGCTTAGCCATACAAGTTATTACCATCCAAGTACATGGCATACACTGAGACATTGCTTAGCCATACAAGTTATTGCCATCCAAGTACATGGCATACACTGAGACTTTGCTTAGCCATACAAGTAATTACCATCCAAGTACATGGCATACACTGAGACATTGCTTAGCCATACAGGTTATTGCCATCCAAGTACATGGCATACACTGAGACATTGCTTAGCCATACAGGTTATTGCCATCCAAGTACATGGCATACACTGAGACATTGCTTAGCCATACAGGTTATTGCCATCCAAGTACATGGTATACACTGAGACTTTGCTTAGCCATACAAGTAATTACCATCCAAGTACATGGCATACACTGAGACATTGCTTAGCCATACAGGTTATTGCCATCCAAGTACATGGCATACACTGAGACATTGCTTAGCCATACAGGTTATTGCCATCCAAGTACATGGCATACACTGAGACATTGCTTAGCCATACAGGTTATTGCCATCCAAGTACATGGCATACACTGAGACATTGCTTAGCCATACAAGTTATTACCATCCAAGTACATGGCATACACTGAGACATTGCTTAGCCATACAAGTTATTACCATCCAAGTAAATGGCATACACTGAGACATTGCTTAGCCATACAAGTTATTACCATCCAAGTACATGGCATACACTGAGACATTGCTTAGCCATACAAGTTATTACCATCCAAGTACATGGCATACACTGAGACATTGCTTAGCCATACAAGAAGTTATGTATACCTTGTAGTTCTGATTCTATCCTCTTATTTTATCAATGTAAACCAATTGAAAGATTCATTTAAATCTTACAAAGGTTTTTATTTGTTTACATCCAAACATATCTTTATTTATAAAATGAATAAAATAAAATAAGAAACATACTTAACAACATGATCCTGCAAGTAAAAATTATGAAATAGGCAAGAAGCTCGCTGATATTTACAGAAATACTGGTTCTTCTAATGTATGATTGAAAACAGATATTTCACTCCACTGAGAAGTATGAATAGAAAAATTCCATGTTGCTTCGAATCGAGTTACATCAACATTTTTTTAAATCGAATCGTTGCTTTGAGTTGAAATGTTTTGCTGCTTCACACACCCCTACATTTAGTACGGGATTTTCTTGGCATGTGATACGTTTCGATCGTCAGTGATTTCGCTGGATCGTAAGTGACAACATATGTTGACGAAGGTACCGTGACCGCGAGACGGAAAAAGGTGTAGTAACATGGAGAATGGACCGAGTTTTTGGTCGGGATTTATATAAAAATGGTAATGAAAAGTCGGGAAAAAGTCGGGAATTCCATTTGAGAAATCTGGTAGACACCCTGTATAGGCCAAAAACACCAAATTCATATATATAATATATATAAGATTTTTTTTAAAGTACCTTAATAAGTTAAATAATAGTAGGTAATTAATAAGTAAATAAGTTAAAATTAAATTTTTAACAGTTTAAACCTTAAAAAAATTGCTGTAACTCTTTCCCTAAATGAAAAAAAATGTAAGAGAAAATAATAATCAATGTAAAATGATCGATAAAAAATAATGCGTAAAGTTCAATCAATAACATTGGCAGGTACAGGTAAATATGGACAAACCATTTTCTGGCTTAAAAAGCCTTGCAATGAGTGGATTGTTGTGCACTACCATTATACTACCAGTGTTCTATACTCTGTTTACAAAATTTAGTTGCCAAAAAGTCAACATTTTTTTCATTTAGGGAAAGTGTTACAGCAATTTTTTTAAGGTTTAAACTGTTAAAAATTTAATTTTAACTTATTTACTTATTAATTACTTACTATTATTTAACTTATTAAGGTACTTTAAAAAAAGTCTTATATATATTATACATATGAATTTGAATGGATGGTGTTTTTGGTCTCTGGGGACCTCAAAACAAAAAAGTAAATTGGTCCCGGGTCCAGGTCTTACCATGAGACCTACGGTAATAGCTTATTATATATATATATATATATTCTTGATGAGATCTTGATAGAGTTTATGAAGAATGAAACATGAAACAGTGCAAATTTTCGTTTAATACAAACGTTTTCAAGCAAAGAGAAATGAAAAATGTAAAGATGAACAAAACAAATAAATATGAACTGTTTACAAATATTTGTAAACAGTTCATATTTATTTATTTTATATATATATATTCTTGAGGAGATCTTGATAGAGTTTATGAAGAATGAAACATGAAACAGTGCAAATTTTCGTTTAATACAAACGTTTTCAAGCAAAGAGAAATGAAAAATGTAAAGATGAACAAAACAAATAAATATGAACTGTTTACAAATATTTGTAAACAGTTCATATTTATTTGTATGAAAAATGTAAAGATGAACAAAACAAATAAATATGAACTGTTTACAAATATTTGTAATTTGTAAACAGTTCATATTTATTTGTTTTGTTCATCTTTACATTTTTCATTTCTCTTTGCTTGAAAACGTTTGTATTAAACGAAAATTTGCACTGTTTCATGTTTCATTCTTCATAAACTCTATCAAGATCTCCTCAAGAATATATATATATATAATAAGCTATTACCGTAGGTCTCATGGTAAGACCTGGACCCGGGACCGATTTACTTTTTTGTTTTAAGGTCCCCAGAGACCAAAACACCATCCATTCAAATTCATATATATAATATATATAAGACTTTTTTTAAAGTACCTTAAGATCTATCAAGATCTCCTCAAGAATATAAAAGTCATTTGGCATTTTCATCAAGAAACATAAAAGCCTTCTGGTAAGATATACTTTATATATATATATATTGATAGTTCTGTTCACTTTTTAGGGCTACTTTTTCAATTAATAAGCAAAATAATAAAAACCAGAGTACCCTGAAATTCATTTTTTATTTAAACTGATACGTATTTCGGCACTAAGGCCATGATCACAGTATGAGTGTTATTAAAGTATGTAAACAATTTTTAAATAAAAAATGAATTTCAGGGTACTCTGGCTTTTATTATTTTGCTTATTAATATATATATATATGTCTGTTAGAACGATAACTCAAACAAAAATTATCTGATTTTGATGAAATTTGGTATAAACGTGTAAACCTACATTTATTTAAACGAGATCGCAAACCAGCATAATCGGACTATGGGAACTGGGGTTTATGGGGGTTTTATGAGGTAAAAATGGGTTTTTCCCATTTTTAACCCTTAAAACATCAAATTTTGGAATTTCTAACCCAACCATTTTGTAGAGCTTAAAAAAATAAATTAGGGATGGACGGGATTGAATTTTTAGTTCGGGACGGGACGGGACGGGATTTTTATTTCCTTCCCGATTTTCGGGACGGGACGGGACGGGATTTTTTTTCTATGCATAAAAAGAAAGTACTGTATTGCAGTTACCAAAAAAGACATACGAAATCGATTTTTACCATTTGTGGCACTGATCTATAAAAACCAAAAAATGGGTAACAATTTACAGGTACCTATAGAAACTTGTGACTCGCGGGTCACGGGGTGATCGTCTGTATGACTCACGGTCACGGCGCGATCGTCGTCATGACTCGCGGTCACGGCGCGATCGTCGGTATGACTCGCGGTCACGGCGCGATCGTCGGTATGACTCGCGATCACGGCTCGATCGTCAGAATGACTCCGCGGTCACGGCGCGATCGTCGTCATGACTCGCGGTCACGGCTCGATCGTCAGAATGACTCCGCGGTCACGGCGCGATCGTCGTCATGACTCGCGGTCACGGCGCGGTCGTCGGTATGACTCCGCGGTCACGGCGCGATCGTCGTCATGACTCGCGGTCACGGCGCGGTCGTCGTCATGACTCGCGGTCACGGCGCAGTCGTCGTCATGACTCGCGGTCACGGCGCGATCGTCGTCATGACTCGCGGTCACGGCGCGGTCGTCGGTATGACTCGCGGTCACGGCGCGATCGTCGGTATGACTCCGCGGTCACGGGGTGATCGTCTGTATGACTCACGGTCACGGCGCGATCGTCGTCATGACTCGCGGTCACGGCGCGATCGTCGGTATGACTCGCGGTCACGGCGCGATCGTCGGTATGACTCCGCGGTCACGGGGTTATCGTCGGTATGACTCGCGGTCACGGCATGATCGTCGGTATGACTCGCGATCACGGCTCGATCGTCAGAATGACTCCGCGGTCACGGCGCGATCGTCGTCATGACTCGCGGTCACGGCGCGGTCGTCGTCATGACTCGCGGTCACGGCGCGATCGTCGGTAAGACTCCGCGGTCACGGGGTTATCGTCGGTATGACTCGCGGTCACGGCATGATCGTCGGTATGACTCGCGATCACGGCTCGATCGTCAGCATGACTCCATGGTCACGGCGCGATCGTCGGTAGGACTCCACGGTCACGTCGTGATCGTCCGTAGGACTCCGCGGTCACGGCGCGATCGTCGGTATGACTCGCGGTCACGGCGCGATCGTCGGTAGGACTCCGCGGTCACGGCGCGATCGTCGGTATGACTCGCGGTCACGGCGCGATCGGCGGTATGACTCGCGGTCACGGCGCGATCGTCGGTAGGACTCCGCGGTCACAGGGCGATCGTCGGTAGGCTATGACTCGCGGTCACGGCGTGATCGTCGGTATGACTCCGCGGTCACGGCGCGATCGTCGGTAGGACTCCACGGTCACGTCGTGATCGTCCGTAGGACTCCGCGGTCACGGCGCGATCGTCGGTATGACTCGCGGTCACGGCGCGATCGTCGGTAGGACTCCGCGGTCACGGCGCGATTGTCGGTATGACTCGCGGTCACGGCGCGATCGGCGGTATGACTCGCGGTCACGGCGCGATCGGCGGTATGACTCGCGGTCACGGCGCGATCGTCGGTAGGACTCCGCGGTCACAGGGCGATCGTCGGTAGGCTATGACTCGCGGTCACGGCGTGATCGTCGGTATGACTCCGCGGTCACAGCCCGATCGTCGTTATGACTCCGCGGTCACGTCGTAATCGTCGAAATGACTTCGTCTCCTGCGTTCGCGGACCTATCGCTCACAATAACGGCGTTATCGGCACTCGCGAAGCGGAAAAATCGCCGACGATCGGACCAAATCCCGTCCCGAAAAATTCCCGAGTCAAATGTAATCCCGTCCCGATAATCGGGAATATTTTTTTCCCGAAAAATTCCCGAAATTTCGGGACCCGTCCATCCCTAAAATAAATAATTTAGTATATTGAAGCATTGTTGTATGCCAATAGTTACGGAGAAAATTTTAAAAAGTGTTAATTTAAAATTCGCATGTTATTCTTATGGAGAAAACGAAAACTGTTGTAGTTTACCTACTTGTTTATGGATATATGTTGATCAAATTTGGCAGATTTATTTATTTCATCCTAGATACTATTGGCATTTTGTGATAAAACACTGTTAACTTTCCCCGTAGCAGCAAACCTAAGCACTCGTTAAATCTAATGTTATTTAAACTAGCAGTTACCCACAGGCTTTACCCCGTTTGACTTCATAAGTATTAATAACATTATTGATTGGTTAGGTTGGGCTGAAATAAACAAAACAGGATATAGTAATAAAGACAAATAAGTACAGTTGAGGTATTTTAACATTAGGTAAGTATATGGAAAGTTCCCTTTAGAAATGAATTACGACCTTAAAGGGCCTTAAATTTATGAAATAATGGATGGTTTTGCGCAAGGTTTCTCGTCATGACGAACATTTTAAGTATAAGGTTTAGGGGGGTGTGCCTTGTAGTTTTCTCAAAAGTTCATGGGTACTTTTGGCTTTATATATAGATTGGGAATAAATTTGTTTTATTTATGGAAATATTTTAGTAAATATGTAATCAGACAAGTTAAAATTCCCTTAGTCTGCAGGTTTGCTGCGGCGGGGGTATTTTTTATGTATGTATTCAAATGATGAATGATTCATGTATTGCTTGGCAGTATGACGAAGATGTTGGAGATGAGCAGTATTTCACACGTCGCCCAGGTCCCCCAGAGTTCGGTTACCGTGGGCGAGGAGGGTTCAGGCCGTTCCCTGGCCCTGGGCGGGGACAGCGCTTCATGCCCTATCCCCCTGGACCACGCGGTCCCCCACCCCCAGGCTATGGTCCACCGGCTGGCCGTCTACCGCCTCATGCCCCCAATTCTGCCGTGACTACATTTAAGCCTCAAATTTCACTTGGAAATGCTGCGGTGGGTCTATTTAATTTTTAAATTTACATAGTCTGCAGAATGATTGAAAGAATACCATGATTTAACAGCTGTTTTAAATGATAGTTAAGGGGATTAAAAACATTTTTAGCACAGCCAATTCTATAACATATTCAGTTAGTCCAGCCAAACTAAAAAAAAAACTCAAAAGAAAATACAGTAGACTCCCTCTTATCTGGACACCTTTTAAGCAGACATCAGTTTAACCGGACTATACTCGGCGGAAATGACATATCTTTAACTGGACAATTTTTATCAGCACATTAGTTTAACCGGACTAGATCGGCAGGAAGTGGGCGGTACTGAAACGACTGTCCTCGTCGGAAAGATTTGAGACCAGTGATCACGTGTCTAAATACAATGCTATCCTAAATGTAAGTCAAATATCACAGTAAACTGTCCATTAAAAAAATTTTTTTGGGACGTCGGTTTAACCGGAAAAAACCGTTATCCGGACTGGCCTCGGTACCGAGGACTCCACATAAGAGGGAGTCTATTGTAGACCAAAAACTAATTGGCACAGAAAATGTTGCGTGTAGGCCTATGCTTAATTAATTTGTTTTTCCCAGATTCTCAGTATTCCTTCTACGCCTATTGTGACAGTTGACTTCACCAGAAATATGAAAAGTTGCTTTTTTGTCGTTAGACTTACACAACCTTTCATATAATCTTATTTGTCCCTTTCTACTAAAATTGTAGAACAAGTTTCAGTATTGGGTTTATATGGCTTAATTGTCAGTAGTTGGGCATATTGAGCATTTGTAAACTTGTTGACGCGATGAAAAAAAATTAAATGCCTTTGGTATTTGTATCACCTTGTTTAGTTGAGTTTGATTACACAAAAACTCAGTTTATATCTCTAGAAACTCGGGAAAATTTAGGAGATTTATCTTTTTTTTAAGTAAGTTAGGGAAGAAGTGGCTACTATTTTAAAAGTCTTCTAAATTAGCATGGTACTTGTTATAAAATATGAAAAATAAGTAAAAATGTGTCCAATGTCACTTGAAAAATAATTGTGTAAAAAAAAAAATGGTAAGTGCATATATAAAAGATTACACTCAAATCATCATCAGACCAATAGGTGAATGACAGTAATCTATGACATCCCTACTTATGACTGTTGGCTACCGCAAGCTCTGGGCTTTAAGTATCTACAACTGGTGAATTTAAGAGCTAAACAGAGAGCCATAGGGCCAATTTAAAAGGTTGAAACTAAGGACAGATACTCAGGACAGATAAATAGTAAAAACGTTTTCCTACCTTAAAAGTATCTTGTATTTATTAGAAAGAATGTTGTAACTTGCTAAATTGTTATTACCAAGTTTCCTACCAAAGTCTTACTTGTTTCTGGCCAACAGCCAATGAAGAAGATTCCGGAGGACGCAAACCAGAGACATCCTGTGATGTTGCTCAACCAACTGAAGCCCAACTTGGTGTACAATGAGAGTAGAGAGGGAGAACAGCCCAGGGTCACCTTCATCATCTCCATTGAGGTGGACGGTCGGCAATATGTTGGCAGAGGTACGTTGTAACCAATTAAATTCATATTTTGTATGCAAATAGTATGTGCTGGAGTCAAATCTGGTTAAAACTTTGTATGAATTGAGAGAAATTCAAATATTGGGAGTTTTTGAATTTTTTTTCTGAGAAATACTTTTCTTTCCAATGCTCTCTAAGGTTACAGATACCAACAATTGAATATCTCCGCTTAACAACTATTGTTGGAGCCTACTCAATTCTTGTTATGAAGCGTTAACATTAACTTGTTTGTGGAGGCCTTCCTCTGATCCCAGGAACAAGATAGTGGTTTGCCTGTATAAAATCCTGCGAGTGCCCATCAATGTGAGTTTTGTCATTCAATAACTTTATTAGCGTCTCGTAAAGAATTAAAGATATCAAAGGACTTATCCTGGTACTGTACATTACTTAAATTAAAAACTGTGGGTATGATAATCAATCATGGGGCTTTAACAGAGATACTGATTTGCTAACTTGTATTTTAGGCAAAAACAAAAAGGAAGCTAAGAAGCAAGCTGCGATAGCAGCTCTCGCTCCGATGGGTGTAATATACAATGAAGTGGAACAAATGCAGCAGTAGGAAAAGACCAAAATAAGATGATAAATGTTCTTACCTAAGTAATTTACTCTCTAATAATGTATATTGTGTGATGAAAGTACTTTTATTGTTTAAACTAAGCAACCAATGTTCCAGTATTGGATACAAACTCTGGTATCTCATGATTTATTCAGTTTTGTAAGTTTTAGACATTGATTTGTAGTGTGAGCGTTCACTATTTAGTTTTACTATCTCATTGAAAACCTGAATAATATAAGTGTTTTATTATGTCACAACTTGTGTTTTATTCCACCTCTCAAATCTTCTCTCTTCCACAACACTCATTTCCTCTCTTCCCAGTAATGTTCCTGTAATTAACCTATCTTTCCTATTCAAATTCAAATTCTTTATTCACTCATAACATCTTACATAGTACAACGTACAAAGACAGGAGTGTCGTCAAAAATAAAAATTTAAAAAAATACTATAACTAATGAATTCACACAACTCAAAATTATTACAGCAGACTTCCTCTTATCCGGACTCCTCGGGACCGAGGCCAGTCCGGATAACGGGTTTTCCGGTTAAACCGACATCCCCAAAAACTCATTAAAACGAACTGTTTACTGTGATATTCGACTTAAATTTAGGAGAACATTGTATTTAGACACGTGATCACTGGTCTCAAATCTTTCCCACGAGAACAGTCGTTTCAGTACTGCCCACTTCCTGCCGATCTAGTCCGGTTAAACCAATGTGCTGATAAAAATTGTCCAGTTAAACAGATGTCTTTTCCGCCGAGTGTAGTCCGGTTAATCCGATGTCCGGTTAAAAGGTATCCGGATAAGAGAGAGGCTACTGTACTACTGACATCAAGTAAAAGTTACCATTATAAAAAACAACAAATTTAGTTTACAAAATTAACTTAATTCTTGTCCGTTTTGAAAACATCAGAATAATCTTCTATTTTATAATATGCCTTTTCAATGAATAACTCATGTAATTTTTCTAGGAGTATGTTTTTTGGATTGTTGGTGATTCTTTTTGGAAGTTTATTAAAATTTGTATAGCCATGTATTTTGGTGTACGTTCAAAAAGAGTTAGTCTATGTATTGGGAATTGATATAAATGTTTCTGACGTGTGGAATAGTTATGTATAAATTTAAACTCTTCAAAATTATCTATAATGTTAATTAATAGCTAATTATTTCAAAAATGTACATACTTGTGATGGTTAAAATCCCTAATCTTTTAAAATGCATTTCATTTCATAATATTATTGTTAGGGATGATGAAGGCAGATTGGATTTTTAGTTTGACACGAGAAGAGATGGGATTTTTTATTTCTCATAAATTTTTGAGACAAGATCGAGACGGGATTTCCCTTTTCATACATAACGGGAAATGCACGTTCCACAGTTTAACCTGAATTTTTATCATTTTTAAATACCTACTGATTAATGACAGACTGGTTGAATACAAAAATAATAATAATAGACCGAAATATAAAAACAACAGTATAAAAAAATATTAATAAGGCCTAACTTACATTATTGATGTGTTACATTATTTGTTGTTACTACATTGTTGTGTTTTGCCTGTAACTACAGTTCTACAGATTGTTGGAAGTCGTATGATAGTAGATTACGGAAGTACGGCTTTCCCATTTTAACAGTGAATAAAAATACTAGAGTGGTAATCAGTGGTGCTTGGTAAAAAATATATTTTTAAGACACACTACAGAAAGAAAGTTATAACTGTACAGTTCTATATAAAATTAGGCTAAGCTAATCTAACCTAACTCTCAATTTTTAACATCCCATTGGTTTATCCCATGTTGTGGTCTTACATTGTCTATTCTGTATGAACCCTTGAATGTTCCTTCAACTTACTCTAGGATTAATAAAATTTTCCACTTGTTGTAAGCCTACTGCAATTATGTGATTCCTCTCCTGTATGAATCAATGCATGTTGTTTCAAATCCCCATTGTGTGAAAAGGATTTTCCACATGTGGTACACTTATATGGCCTCTCTCTTGTATGAATCAATGCATGTCGTTTTAAAATTCCTTTTTGTGAAAAGGATTTTCCACATCTGGTACAGTTATATGGCCTATCTCCTGTATGAATTAATGCATGTTTTTTTAACGTCCCTGTTTGTGAAAAGGATTTTCCACGTGTGGTACACTTATATGGCCTCTCTCCTGTATGAATCAATGCATTTTGTCTCATATTGCTTTTGCGTGCAAAGGATTTTCCACATGTGTTGCAATTATGTGATCTGTCTCCTGTATGAATCAATGCATGTTGTTTCAAATATCTTTTGTGTGCAAAGTATTTTCCACATGTGGTGCAATTATGTGATCTCTCACCTGTATGAATCAATGCATGGCGTTTCAAATCCCCTTTGTGTGCAAAGGATTTTCCACATGTGGTGGAATTATGTGATCTGTCTCCTGTATGAATCAATGCATGTTGTGTCAATTCCCCTTTACGTGCAAAGTATTTTCCACATGTGGTGCAATTATGTGATCTCTCACCTGTATGAATCAATGCATGTTGTTTCAAATCCCCTTTGCGTGTAAAGGATTTTCCACACGTGGTGCACTTATATGGCCTCTCTCCCGTATGTATCAATGCATGTACTTTCAAAGCCCCTTTTTTTAAATAGGATTTTCCACATGTGGTGCAATAACCCCTCGACAGATTGTAATTAAACTTTCAGGCCATTATTAAGCATTATTCAAGGATGGTTTCTGTAAAGTTTGGTGCAGATTGGTCAAAAGGGCTCCGCCCCAGTAGCTCTGGAGTTTCCCATGTTAACCTTATGAGTACTCATATTTAAATGGAATTAAAGAATCTTAACAGCTGGTTCAACTAAACAATTTGTGTCTGTGATGTTCAATAGCATTAAAAAGTCAATAGGTTTGCCAACGGGGTGCAGCACTATCATTTTTTTAAATATATGACAACAGGTAACTTGCAACCAAAAGGTGAGTGATCGTAGCGAAAGAACTTCAACCTAGAGGCGAGTTAGCGTAGCGAACGAGCTAACCGGAAGGCAAGTGAGCGCAGCGAACGAGCTCCAACCTAAAGGTGAGTGAGCGTAGCGAACGAACTTCAACCAGGACGTGACTGAGCCATGCGAATGAGCTCATCTTGAAAATGAACAAGCATTTGACATAAAACCACATTAGGACAGGACGACGCCTGTTGAGCCAGCTAGTTAGTATATATATACAAATATATGAAAATTTGAACAAATGTTTTTGGTCTTGGGCATAAGTCTAGTGACATCAAAATGAAAAAGTAAATCGTTCCCGGGCCTAGGTCTTATTGTGCCATCTATGGTAATAGCGATTTCCCCATAGGGAAATTTGCTAAATACTTCCCTGTAAGAAAATTTACTAAAAATAAGGTGCCTTCTGAGTACAAAGATTTCGAACAGGGCCATCACCTGGGTGGGACGACCGCTGCCATCGCCTAACTGCAGCGGTCGTCCCACCCAGGTGATGGTCCTGTTCGAAACCTACATATCCCATTAGATATTTTGCAACATTTGTGGGGTTTTGTATGTTCTCCCTTGGCTTATATTATGTTCCATTATTAAATCTCAAACAAAATAATAATATTTTTTATATTTTTTCATTATTATTACATCTTGAAACAGATAATTTAAACTGAAAATTATTGGAATTACCATTATAGTTTGTTCCAAAATTTAGGCTGTTTGAATTGTAATGGGGTTTCCTATTACTTTACTTTAAATGCTTCATCAATGTTGCCACTGATTTGGGTTTGTAAAAATGTTTGCTTATATTTAATGTTTGCACTCTGTTTCTATCAGCAGAAAGTAGAATTAAATAATAGTAATTCTATAAAAAACCCTGTCACAGCAAACCTGCAGAATAAGCAAATTTCTATTTACTTGACTAGATATCCACTTAGATAATCCCTTAAAATTTAAAGATTTATTTAATACTAGCTGTTGTACCCATGCTTAACAACGGGAAGAGGACACAAAATAGAAACATTTTAATCTTTACATCTGTTGCATATAATAGTTACACATCTGCCAACGCTTTTAGAAACAAAATTCAACTTTTATGGTCTTAATAGAAACGTTTAAGTTATGTAAGTAGTGGATACGACCATTTTGGTTTTGATTAATTTTAAATCTTGTGTAGGCTGATAGGGTACACTTCCATATCTGTTGGCACAAACAACCGAATGTGTAATATTGATTATTCGATTGTTTAATTCGATATATCGTTTGGTAAGTTAGGTTAGGGTAACCTAACCTAACTAACCAAACGATATATTGAATAATCGATATATCGATCGATATTTTCATTCGGTTGTTTGTGCCAACAGATATGGAAGTGTACCCGGCTGATATGAGAAAAACTGACCAAATCTTCGAATAAAACTTTCACTTACATGATTTACCTTCATCTCCCTTAACTACATGGTATCTTTTTTCTTTATTTTTGACATTTTAATTTTCAATTTTGAAGTTGCAAAAATACTAATTATTAAATTTAAATGAACATTTTTTTTTAATTTCACTCTCCCTCACATCAAATCACAAATCCTTTCCATCTTCAGTTTGTTCACTCATAATAAATCATTAGCAAAACTTAATCAGCTGTTATAAACCTTAGAAATAATATTGTTGTGCCTTATTAATAGTCTTTTGAAATATTAAAGAAACTATATCTAAACTACAAACAAAGTTTAAAAAATAATTCGCATTAAATACAGGAGACGAAACTAATATGATTATCAAAGCATCAAGGACTAAAAATATAATAGCAAATACAGTATATGTTTCATTGCATCTCTGATTCTACTCTACAAAAATATCAACAAACAAGTTAATATGCAAACCAGTTCTTTTAATCAGTTCCATCGTCCATTGTCTTTACATTTTCACACTTACCATTAAGTAAACATAGTAACAGATATTTAATTGATTTTAGAAACAAAAGAACAGTGTACACCTTGTTTTATGATATTTTCCTTGGTTTAATTTAAGAAGTGGTGTGGCAAAACACAAATGATAAATTTATCAAATAATGTAAATGTGAACTGAGAGCTATGTTAAGATAAAAAAAAGAGAGTATTTCATATTACCATTTGACAATTAAATATAGTTGCACATATACAACAGATTTTATAAAACAAAAATCAATGACGTACATTTTAGTTATTGATGATATTCTTTAGTTTAATTTAAGCATAGGTTAAGACATCGGATAATGTCATCGTGCAAAATCTCACAATGCCTAAAAGTGTATACGTGCCTTAGTCCATAATCTAATCTCATGTATCAGAAACCAATTACAGTAATTACATTCTATTAATTATACCTACATTGCTGTGTTTTGCCTGTGACTACAGTTCTACAGATTGTTGGAAGTCGTATGTTAGTGGATTACGGAAGTACGGCTTTCCCATTTCAACAGTGAATAAAAATACTAGAGTGGTAATCAATGGCGTTTGGTAAAAAATGTATTTTTAAGACACACTACAGAAAGAAAGTTATAACTGTACAGTTCTATATAAAATTAGGATAAGCTAATCTAACCTAGTTCTCAATTTTCAACATCCCATTGGTTTATCCCATGTTGTGGTCTTACAGAGTGTCTATTCTGTATGAACCCTTGAATGTTCGTCCAACTTACTCTAGGATTAATAAAATTTTCCACTTGTTGTAGGCCTACTGCAATTATGTGATTCCTCTCCTGTATGAATCAATGCATGTTGTTTCAAATTTCCTTTTTGTGCAAATGATTTTCCACACGTATTACACTTATATGGCCTCTCTCCTGTATGAATCAATGCATGTTGTTTATAACTTCTTCTGTGTGCAAAGTATTTTCCACACGTGGAACACTCATATGGTTCCTCTCCTGTATGAATCAATGCATGTTGTTTCAAAGACCCTTTTTGTGCATAGGATTTTCCACACGTGGTGCATTTATATGGTTCCTCTCCTGTATGAATCAATGCATGTCGTTTCATAGACCCTTTTTGTGCAAAGGATTTTCCACACGTGGTACACTTATATGGTTCCTCTCCTGTATGAATCAATGCATGTTGGTTCAGATCCCCTTTACGTGTAAAGGATTTTCCACACGTGGTGCACTTATATGGCCTCTCTCCTGTATGAATCAGTGCATGAAGATTCAAATGTCCTTTTTGTGCAAAGGATTTTCCACATGTGGTACACTTATATGGCCTCTCTCCTGTATGAATCAATGCATGTACTTTCAAAGACCCTTTTTGTGAATAGGATTTTCCACACGTATTACACTTATATGGCCTCTCTCCTGTATGAATCAATGCATGTTGTTTCAAAGACCCTTTTTGTGCAAAGGATTTACCACATGTGGAACACTTATATGGTTCCTCTCCTGTATGAATCAATGCATGTTGTTTCAAATGTCCTTTTTGTGCAAATGATTTTCCACACGTATTACACTTATATGGCCTCTCTCCTGTATGAATCAATGCATGTTGTTTATAACTTCTTCTGTGTGCAAAGTATTTTCCACACGTGGAACACTCATATGGTTCCTCTCCTGTATGAATCAATGCATGTTGTTTCAAAGACCCTTTTTGTGCATAGGATTTTCCACACGTGGTGCATTTATATGGTTCCTCTCCTGTATGAATCAATGCATGTCGTTTCATAGACCCTTTTTGTGCAAAGGATTTTCCACACGTGGTACACTTATATGGTTCCTCTCCTGTATGAATCAATGCATGTTGGTTCAGATCCCCTTTACGTGTAAAGGATTTTCCACACGTGGTGCACTTATATGGCCTCTCTCCTGTATGAATCAGTGCATGAAGATTCAAATGTCCTTTTTGTGCAAAGGATTTTCCACATGTGGTACACTTATATGGCCTCTCTCCTGTATGAATCAATGCATGTACTTTCAAAGACCCTTTTTGTGAATAGGATTTTCCACATGTGGTACACTTATATGGCCTCTCTCCTGTATGAATAAATGCATGTTTTTTCAAAGACCCTTTTAGTGCAAAGGATTTTCCACACGTGGTACACTTAAATGGTCTCTCTCCTGTATGAATCATTGCATGTCGATTAAAATCCTTTTTGTAAGCAAAGGATTTTCCACAAGTTGTGCACTTATATGGCCCCTCTCCTGTATGAATCAATGCATGTATCCTTAGGGTATATTTATTTGATAAGGATTTTCCACATTTAGTGCACTTGTAAAAAGAATACTTCCTAGAGTGTTCCAACAAATGAATCTTTACACTACCTTGTTTGACAAAGGTTTTCTCACATAATAAACATTTGAAGGGACGCTCACCCGTGTGTAACAATATGTGATTCTTCATTTCTGCTTTCTTTGAACAAATCTTTTCACATATTAGACACTTAAAAGGAAGCTCCATTTTATGCTTTAACATTTGGAATTTCTGTCTTTGTAAAACTTATCAGAGAAGCAAGCAACTTATCAGTTGGGCTATGAGGTCTATTCAAATATATCCTTTGTTTGTAGGAATGGTTAAATTTTACAATCAATGGATTTCTATGTCATACAACCTGAAATCTTCTTTTTTAGATCTTGTATATGTACCTTTTAGATATATTGCAGCATTCTTGGAGTTTTGTATGTTCTCCCTTGACTTATATGTTCTATTATTAAATCTTGAATAAAATAATCCGACTTTTTGTATTTTTTATTATTATTACATCTTAAAACGTATAATTTAAACTCTAGAATTAGGCCTTGTAATCACAGTTTAATAGCAACATTTCCCCGTATGATCTGTTGTGTAAAGCACTATATCAGAGATTATCTCAATTGGTTTCCTTGCAGTACACCGAGGCTCTTTTTTCAAGTGTGGCTCATGTATTGTCATTCTGAAAACAATATTCTTTGTTAAACACATTTATTTATCAATTCATTTAGGTTACACATCATACTGACTTAATATTATAAATATGAAAGTTTGTGTGTTTGTTTAAAGTTCAATCAAGCATTATCTACTGGTCAGATTGGACTTAAATTTGGCAATATGATAGTTCATCTTCCCTATTAACATATAATAAGACTATCCTTATCTCAAAAATCTTTTCCGGCTCCGCCCCAGTGGCTCTGGAATTTCCCACGTTAACCTTATGACTATTCATATTTAAAAGGAATTAAAGAATTTGGACAGCTTATTCTAAAATTCCTAAATTTTCATTTATATTTTTTTAATTTATGTAGCGTTACAATTAGGTGTTTTATTGTCGTTTTGTTACCTGATTTTAATTCTTGTATGTCTTCCTGGAACCTTTTCTTGAAGCTACGATTTGTTTGGCAAATGAAGAATTTAACAGTCTGATCATTTTATTTGATAAATGCCTGATTTGTTCATTCTTTTACTTGGCTGTTAAATATTTCATTAGAGTTTTTTATCATATGAAAGGCATTATTTTTAGTTCTGTAACTTATTTTCAAATTTTAATTTTGTAAGGTTTTTCTTCACCAAATTCATTGGTTCTTAATTTTATGGAAATGACATGTATACAAACATACCTATAGATGACACCATTGACATACTCGAACAACAATTAACAACAATATATGTATAATATATATATGTGAATATAACAATAATTTGAGGAATCAGCAAAAATAAAAATAAATAGTTGCTAGGCAACGGTGACAATAACACAATTCTATTGCAATGCTAGGGATTTTGATTGTGTATTTAATATGCATTCATGTTTTAAGTAAGTAAGCGGACAGCTGATTTTGCGGCCCGGCCTGTAAAAACCTACTCGGTCCCCAAATTACGATGACAGTTGTTTGAAGGTGTAAGGAGGGATAAACTTGAATGAGTTCGCGAACCAGCATGATCGGACCATGGGAACGGGGTTTCACAAGGGGTTTTATGTGGTAAAAATGGGGTTTTCTAATTTTTTTACCCTTAAAACGCAAAATTTATCAATTTTTCTCCAGACCTTTTTAAAGAGTTTAAAAAAATAAATACTTTACTATATGAAAGTGTTTTTGTACGGTGATTCGTTACAGAGAAAATTCAAAAAAATGTTAATTTAAAATTCCCATGTTATTCTTATGGAGAATATTATAATATGTTGTAGTTGGCTTGTTTATGGATATATTTTGATCAAACTTGGCGCATTTATTTATTTCATACTAAGCTATTGATATTTTAATAAAAAACCCACTTTATTAGTTTCCCTGTAGCAGCTAACCTAGGTACTCGTTACATTAATGTTAATTTAATAGATTAATTGAAAATTAATCCAGGCAAATTGAAAATCGCTTAGTCGGCAGGTTTGCTGCAGCGGGGGTATTATGATATTTTCCTTGGTTTAATTTAATCAGTGGTGTGGCAAAACACAAATGATAAATTTATCAAATAAAGTAAATGTGAACTGAAAGCTATGTTAAGAAAAAAGAGAGTATATTTTGTATTACCATTTGATAGCCTAATTAAATATAATTTACACATATACAACAGATTTTAGAAAACAAAAATGTACATTTTGGTTATTGATGATATTCTTCAGTTTAATTTAAGCATAGGTTTATTGTGCAAAATCTCACAATGCCTAAAAGTGTATACATGCCTTAGTGCATTATCTAATCTCATGTATCAAAAACCAATTACAGTAATTACATTTTATTAATTAAAACAGAAAAATATGGAGTGCCTCAAGGGTCTATTCTAGGACCATTGCTATTTTTGTGCTATTTAAAGGACATAAGCAGTGTCCTAGTATGTAGACCTAGAAGTGAATTGTGCCTGTATGCTAACGATGCTAATTTAATGATTTCCTCTCCTACACTGGAACAAACGGAAATTTCTGCTTTTCTAGAACTTGGAAATTTGGGCAGTTATCTGGTGTGCCAAAACCTAAAATTAAATAACAAAAAAACTAGTTTTATCACATTTAAAACACCACAAAATAAAAATTCCAATCACCCAATAATAATGTATGACTCGCAACTTATTGAGCAAAAGACCAGCACAAACTTTTTGGGTCTAACAATAGATCAAAATTTGAATTGGAATGATCATACAAAAAAAATAGTTTCAAAAATCAACTCTGGAATTTTTGCCCTTTCAAAAATGTCTGTGTACTGTGGTGTCAAAACTTTGAAAAACATTTACTTTGCATATATCCATTCACATATTTCCTTTGGTATCTGTCTATATGGAGCAACAACTCAAATCAATCTAGATAAAATACTAAAACATCAAAAAAGAGCAATGAGAGTAATGCTCAAACTAAATTCTGATGCCTCGGCAAAAGAGCACTTTAAACAGCTAAACATACTAACTGTTTATGGGCAATATATTTATGATTCAATTTTAATTTTTAAAAATAAAACCTCATCCGATGTATCCAATCTACCGGTTCACCGATATGAAACGAGAAAAAAAATCAGATTTTGCAAAATAGGCACAGGTTAAAGTTTTATGAAAAAAAGCCATCATTTGCTGGTTAAAGTTTTTTAAAACATATCCCCGGAGGAATTAGAAATGAAAAAGATACAAAAAAGTTTAAAACAAAACTAAAAAAATTTCTTAATAAACACGGCAATTTATTCTCAAGAAGAATTTTTCCACCCCCCTCAAGAATACTAGATATTAAGAAGGCATCTGTATGGGGAGATGTATTTTTTAATTTAAGATTTATTTTTAATCTGTATTTTATATTTTATTAATTCTTTAGTAGTCTTTGACACTATTCAAATGCTGTATTATGTATACTTCTCAATGAATAAAGAAATTGAAAATTGAAATTGAATTATACCTACATTGAAAAATAGTTTTGCTTGTGACTACAGTTCTACAGATTGTTAGAAGTTGTATGATATTAGATTGCGGAAGTACGGCTTTCCAATTTTAACAGTGAATAAAAATACTAGAGTGGTAATCAATAGTGCTTAAAATGTATTTTTAAGACACACTACAGAAAGAATGTTATAACTGTACAGTTCTATATTAAACTACGCTAAGCAAATCTAAACTAACCTAACCAAACCTAACTCTCAATTTTCAAAATGCTATTGGTTTATCCCATGTTGTGGTCTTACAGAGTGTCTATTCTGTATGAGTGCTTGAATGTGCCTTCAACTTACTCTTGGACTAATAAGATTTTCCACATGTTGAAGTTCTACTGCAATTATGTGATCCCTCTCCTGTATGAATCAATGCATGTTGTTTCAAATGTCCTTTTTGTGCAAAGGATTTTCCACACGTATTACACATATGTGGTTTTTCTCCTGTATGAATCAATGCATGTTTTTTTAAAGTACCAGTTTCTGAAAAGGATTTTTCACATGTGATACACTTATATGGTTTTTCTCCTGTATGAATCAAGGCATGTTTTTTTAACGTCCCTTTTTGTGAAAAGGATTTTCCACATGTGGTACACTTATATGGCCTCTCTCCTGTATGAATCAATGCATGTCGTTTAAAAATTCCTTTTTGTGAAAAGGATTTTCCACAAGTGGTACACTTATATGGCCTCTCTCCTGTATGAATCAATGCATGTCGTTTAAAAATTCCTTTTCCTGAAAAGGATTTTCCACAAGTGGTACACTTATATGGCCTCTCTCCTGTATGAATAAATGCATGTCGTTTATAACTTCTTTTGTGTGCAAAGGATTTTCCACATGTGGTGCACTTATATGGCCTCTCTCCTGTATGAATCAATGCATGTTTTTTCAAATACTCTTTTTGTGCAAAGGATTTTCCACACGTCGTGCATTTATATGGCCTCTCTCCTGTATGAATTAATGCATGTTGTTTCAAATACTCTTTTTGTGCATAGGATTTTCCACACGTGGTGCATTTATATGGCCTCTCTCCTGTATGAATCAATGCATGTTGGTTCAGATCCCCTTTACGTGTAAAGGATTTTCCACACGTGGTGCACTTATATGGCCTCTCTCCTGTATGAATCAGTGCATGAAGATTCAAATGTCCTTTTTGTGCAAAGGATTTTCCACACGTGGTGCATTTATATGGTCTCTCTCCTGTATGTATCAATGCATGTTGTTTCAAAGTCCCTTTTTTTGAATAGGATTTTCCACATGTGGTACACTTATATGGCATCTCTCCTGTATGAATCAATGCATGTCGTTTAAAAATTCCTTTTCCTGAAAAGGATTTTCCACAAGTGGTACACTTATATGGCCTCTCTCCTGTATGAATAAATGCATGTCGTTTATAACTTCTTTTGTGTGCAAAGGATTTTCCACATGTGGTGCACTTATATGGCCTCTCTCCTGTATGAATCAATGCATGTTTTTTCAAATACTCTTTTTGTGCAAAGGATTTTCCACACGTGGTGCATTTATATGGCCTCTCTCCTGTATGAATTAATGCATGTTGTTTCAAATACTCTTTTTGTGCAAAGGATTTTCCACACGTGGTGCATTTATATGGCCTCTCTCCTGTATGAATCAATGCATGTTGGTTCAGATCCCCTTTACGTGTAAAGGATTTTCCACACGTGGTGCACTTATATGGCCTCTCTCCTGTATGAATCAGTGCATGAAGATTCAAATGTCCTTTTTGTGCAAAGGATTTTCCACACGTGGTGCATTTATATGGTCTCTCTCCTGTATGTATCAATGCATGTTGTTTCAAAGTCCCTTTTTTTGAATAGGATTTTCCACATGTGGTACACTTATATGGCATCTCTCCAGTATGAATCAATGCATGTAGTTTCAAATCCCCTTTGCCTGTACAGGATTTTCCACATGTGGTACACTTATATGGCCTCTCTCCTGTATGTATCAATGCATGTACTTTCAAAGACCCTTTTTGTGAATAGGATTTTCCACATGTGGTACACTTATATGGCCTCTCTCCTGTATGAATCAATGCATGTTTTTTCAAAGACCCTTTTTGTGCAAAGGATTTTCCACACGTGGTACACTTAAATGGTCTCTCTCCTGTATGAATCAATGCATGTCGATTAAAATCCTTTTTGTAAGCAAAGGATTTTCCACAAGTTGTGCACTTATATGGCCCCTCTCCTGTATGAATCAATGCATGTATCCTTAGGGTATATTTATTTGATAAGGATTTTCCACATTTGGTGCACTTGTAAAAAGAATACTTCCTAGAGTGTTCCAACAAATGAATCTTTACACTACCTTGTTTGACAAAGGTTTTCTCACATAATAAACATTTGAAGGGACGCTCACCCGTGTGTAACAATATGTGATTCTTCATTTCTGCTTTCTTTGAACAAATCTTTTCACATATTAGACACTTAAAAGGAAGCTCCATTTTATGCTTTAACATTTGGAATTTCTGTCTTTGTAAAACTTATCAGATAAGCAAGCAACTAATCAGTTGGGCTATGAGGTCTATTCAAATATATCCTTTGTTTGTAGGAATGGTTAAATTTTACAATCAATGAATTTCTATGTCATACAACCTGAAATCTTCTTTTTTAGATCTTGTATATGTACCTTTTAGATATATTGCAGCATTCTTGGAGTTTTGTATTTTCTCCCTTGACTTATATGTTCTATTATTAAATCTTGAATAAAATAATCCGACTTTTTGTATTTTTTATTATTATTACATCTTAAAATGTATAATTTAAACTCTAGAATTAGTCCTTGTATTCACAGTTTAATAGCAACATTTCCCCGTATGATCTGTTGTGTAAAGCACTATATCAGAGATTATCTCAATTGGTTTCCTTGCAGTACACCGAGGCTCTTTTTTCAAGTGTGGCTCATGTATTGTCATTCTGAAAACAATATTCTTTGTTAAACACATTTGTTTATCAATTCATTTAGGTTACACATCATACTGACTTAATATTATAAATATGAAAGTTTGTGTGTTGGTTTAAAGTTCAATCAAGCATTATCTACTGGTCAGATTGGACTTAAATTTGGCAATATGATAGTTCATCTTCCCTATTAACATATAATAAGACTATCCCTATCTCAAAAATCTTTTCCGGCTCCGCCCCCCCAGTGGCTCTGGAATTTCCCACGTTAACCTTATGAGTATTCATATTTAAAAGGAATTAAAGAATTTGGACAGCTTATTCTAAAATTCCTAAATTTTCATTTATATTTTTTTAATTTATGTAGCATTACAATTAGGTGTTTTATTGTCGTTTTGTTACCTGATTTTAATTCTTGTATGTCTTCCTGGAACCTTTTCTTGAAGCTACGATTTGTTTGGCAAATGAAGAATTTAACAGTCTGAACATTTTATTTGATAAATGCCTGATTTGTTCATTCTTTTACTTGGCTGTTAAATATTTCATTAGAGTTTTTTATCATTTGAAAGGCATTATTTTTAGTTCTGTAACTTATTTTCAAATTTTAATTTTGTAAGGTTTTTCTTCACCAAATTCATTGGTTCTTAATTTTATGGAAATGACATGTATACAAACATACCTATAGATGACACCATTGACATACTCGAACAACAATTAACAACAATATATGTATAATATATATATGTGAATATAACAATAATTTGAGGAATCAGCAAAAATAAAAATAAATAGTTGCTAGGCAACGGTGACAATAACACAATTCTATTGCAATGCTAGGGATTTTGATTGTGTATTTAAAATGCATTCATGTTTTAAGTAAGTAAGCGGACCGGCCTGTAAAAACCTACTCGGTCCCCAAATTACGATGACAGCTGGCATGGCCAGCAAAACGTAACTTTCAGCCACCAATTAACGTATGTAATACAGCCAAAAACATCATAGTGTGGTGAAAAAATGTTTGCTTATATTTAATGTTTGCATTCTGTTTCTATCAGCAGAAAGTAGAATTAGTAGTAATTCTATAAAAAAACCCTGCTGCAGCAAACCTGCAGAATAGGCGAATTTCTATTTAGGTACCTAACTAGATGACCACTAAGATACTCCCTTAAAATTTAAAGATTTATTTAATATTTAATCCTATATCAGGCCCATGTTGAGTTTCTAGTTTGAAAACATGTGATAACGTCATTGTGCATGTCTAAAAGTGTATACGTGTCTTAGTGCATAATCTCATGCATCAGAAACCAATTAATTACATTTTATTAATTATACCTACATTGCTGGGTTTTCCCTGTAACTACAGTTCTACAGATTGTTGGAAGTCGTATGATAGTAGATTGCGGAAGTACGGCTTTCCAATTTTAACAGTGAATAAAAATCACAAGAGTGGTAATCAATCATGCTTGGTAAAAAATATATTTTTAAGACATAATGCAGAAAGAAAGTTATAACTGTATCCATTCTATATTAAATTACACTAAGCAAATCTAAACTAACCTAACCAAACCTAATTCTAAATTTTCAAAATTCCATTGGTGTATCACATGTTGTGTACTTACATGAAGTGTCTATTCTGTATGAACCCTGTGAATTCTGTATAAACTGTGTTTTAACATGAATGCAAGTGATTCAGTTCAGTGAAAACTTAAGTAATTTTACTATTTAAATTATTATTTAAAGTGTTGAAATTAGTGAAAAGTATTAGGTAAAGTACAAATTTCATAAACTTATTATAATTTTCAAATTTACCTTGAAGAACTGACAATACCAAGAATACTAGTTGTATATCAACAAAACCACATGTTTTTAAGCACCAGCTATATTTCACTGTTAAACAATTACTAAGACAATTTGTGGACTGCAAATCATAGAATAACTAATTTTGATTTATAACTCACAACCTGAGCACATTTTAGACTCGAGTAACTGCAATTAAAAGATAAGAACAAAAACTGATAAATGGTTAAACTGGAAGTAAGGTTCTGACCTATGCAGTCTTTTCCTGTTTGAAGTTGCCCCACCCCCTCTAGCCATTACCTGACCTTTGCCACAGACCATTGATGCATCACAACAATCAGCTGATTCTGTTTACATCTTCAAATGCTACAAACTGAATCTTAGACCAAAAGTAACAGTTGTTTTATGTAACATGTTTAAGATCATCGATGGGATAAAATAAAACATATTTTAAAGCCATAAAATATTGGTAATACAGTAGCCTACAAAGATATAATTTAGAATTGAATTTACTAGTGAACCTGTGCGGCTCAATGCCCCGCAAAATAACATATGAATTTAGAAAACAAATTCATCGTATTATATATAGACTCGACGACGAAAATTAAACAGTAATAATGAAGCCTTGGAAGGGAAGCAGTCCAGCCATTTTCTAGCTGTATAGGTGTATTATATTTAGTAAATTAATAAGTTTTTAAGTATGTTATAAGCAGCGAGCAAGGTTATAGGGTTAATATTTTAGGATATGTTGTTTTAGGGGCAAGGTTTAATATTTTTTAAAGATTTTTAAAACACATTTAACAAAACATTTTATTAATCAAACCAATAGGCCTACGTAGCATATTTTGAAGGTCATACAAATGCTGCTTGAAGAAAACACAATTTAAAAATAAACACTAAAAAACAATATTTTTATCACAAAAGCACTTCCATGAATACTACGATTTTAGCCTTAAAGTTACCTTCAGGAACATTACCCTGGTCAGAGTTTTCCGTAGGTAACGAATAAGTTATGCGTATCCTATTGAAGAGTACACTTCCATATCTGTTGGCACAAACAATCCAATGGGTAATATTGATTATTCGATGTTTGGTTAGTTAGGGTAGGTTAACCTTACCTAACTAACCAAACGATATATCAAATAATCGAAATACCGATCAATATTTTCATTTGGTTGTTTGTGCCAACAGATATGGAAGTGTACCCCTATTAAAAGATGTAGCCTTACTTAAAACAACATATAATATAGTTGCTCATGACTGAAATTGGTCTGGGTAAGAACAGCGCTGCAAATGCCAAAGGTAACAGAAATTAGCATCTTTCCATTTTAAAAAGTAGGCCTAAGTTTGTTTCAGTTGGGTAAATTTGTATCCTCGAAATAAAAATACGTCCCCACTCACTTGTTCCAGTTAAGACTTTACATTCTATTAAGTTGTTAACCATTCTGATCACATGAAGCCTTGTGCCATTAATAAGGCCCTTTTAGATGTATTAATATTCCTCATCCATAAAACCACTACCCCCTTTTATTAGTCTAATCTGTGTCTTGGAAATTCACCGACCTCTATATTTAAAAACTCGGTTGTATTTTCTAGATGGGTGTCTTCGCCTTCGTCTGTTTTCAAGGACCCATTCTTCTTCCCCTTGGTGAATTAATTACCTGACTTGTCAAGTTCATGTAGTAATTCATTAGTACTGTTAGTTTATAAAGAAAATTAAATTAGATAAAACTTACTTGGTTTGGTGCTTTCATAACTGCAATGAAATTTGTTTGATTTGTCGATCAGCTGTTTAGTTTCAAATGAATTAATAATGTCAAAGATTTGTGATTTAAATACATAAATTATCAGAGTAAAGTTTTCTAAATCATGGTAACTTATTCTCCACTAAATTTTACTATTCCCAGCATTAAAATAAAGTAGTAAGATCCATTATAGGTAAACTTTAAGGTACACAATCCTTGATTGAAATGTAGTAGGTATACATTAGAGTCATAATATACAGCAATTTTGATGTAGTAGACTTTGACTATTTTCAAGTAACAAACATATGTTTCTGTAAATAAAAATTATCTCCCATGTTATCCTTATGGAGAAATACGAAACTTTAAAGGGCTCCAGGGCTTCAATCTCTCATTATTTCCCTAAAATAAAAGTTTCCTGCACAACTTCACGTTACCCTCTTTCCAATGACAACAAAAACATGTCAATCGGTTCAGTAGTTTCGGAGGAGTAATTGTCACAATAAACCTGCTTGCGTATTAAATAAGTACTAGTTGCTCTGCCCGTGCTTCGCTACGGGGTGAGAATGCAGAAAAGAATAATTTGGTTTTACTTTAAGATACTATAATATATTAAAAGAAACAGTTACAACACACTTCCCAGGAAACATAAAGGCAAAGGCTCAATCGTGCTTATTGATTATTTAAATGAAGATCCCTTAATGTATTTGTTGTGTTTTAATAAAAGAATAGATTCAAATAACTTAAGTAACTCATTTTATTAAAGGTGTAAACTGAAAACTAAACTGTAAAATCCAAACATAAACAAACATTAGACAATAAACAACAGCTGATCAGTTGGTATAGCAGTATTACAGTAGGCCCTACTATAATTTTATATAGTGTAGTGGTGTATAGCATTTAAAATACATGCAAAAGTATAATTCATTGACCACATGGAACCAAGAAACAATTATCCTTGTAAACAAATTAAATTAAATAGCAGAACAGCATTTCTGACAACAGCTGGAGTTTCATAACAATGTTTGTTCCCCATGTTAATCTTATGGAGAAATACAAAACTTTAAAGGGTCCTAGGGCCTGACTCTCTAATTATTTCCCTAAAAAGAAAGTTTCCTGCACAACTTCTTGTTACACTCTTTCCAATGACACCAAAAACATGTCAATCGGTTCAGTAGTTTCGGAGGAGTAATTGTCACAAAAATCCTGCTTGCGTATTAAATAAGTAAATAGATAGATTACTAATAAATACAAAATATGTTTAATTCAAAAAAGTTCAATTAAATTATGTGCCTTTCTGTAATAAAAGATTTAATATTTAATTAACATTGATAATGCCTACTCCAAAATTTTCTGTTGGTGAAAAAGTTGTTGCCAAAATAAAAGGTTTTCCATACTGGCCTGCAACAATTGAGTCTACTGAAATAAAAAATGAAAATAGTGTCAGATATGTTGTCAGGTTTTATGGAGATGACAATAAATGTGCTACTCTAAAACAGATTGATGTTTGTTTATATATTGAAAATAAATCAAAATATGGCCAATCCAGAGTAAAACTGCGCCCTATGAATGAAAAATTTAACAAAGCACTTAAGGAGATAGAAGCATCATTTAGCAAAAGCTCTACAAAGCTTTCAAATGTAAGTAAAAATAAAACCCCTAAGAAAATCAACACTCCTCAGGTAATAAATAAGGTTAAAATCTGTAACACTATAAATATGAATTCATCGGCAATGAAAAATAGTTCTCTTTTTTCTCAAAGCACTGTTCAAAACAGTAGTTCAGAGAGAATTGATGAGACGTCTAGCATGTGTTTGCTGATGGTGAACCAGTTTCAACCAACAACTCTCTACAACAAGAAAACAAATTACTAAACATTAGTCTGATAGATTCAAGGTTCTTTCTGTACAAATAAAAATAAAAACAATGAGACAATTTTGAAGGCTAATGCTAAAATTAATAAAGTAAATGATTTAAAATTTGGTAGGAATTATTATTGATAACAATTATTTAAGTTGGGACTCTCATGTCCAGCATGTTGTAGGCAAAATTTCATCAGGCTTGTATGCTCTTCGAAGGATGTCCTATGTCTGTGATCTTTCGGCTCTAAAACTGGTGTATTATGCTTTTGTACATTCATTTATATCATACAGAATTAGTGTGTATGGAGGGACCTAAAAATCAAACCTTAATCAAATACTTCTGTTACAAAAGAAAGCTATTAGATTAATGCTAATTGGATTGAAAGTGTAAAGCATCATTTTTCTAATTTGGAAATCCTAACAGTGTTTGAAATTTATATATACGAGACAATAAAATATACTAAGCAGCACCATTTACAAAAAATACAGTTAGAACTAAGTATGCCTACCAGTAATAGATATAATACCAGAAATGCACAATATGTTATACAAAACAGACATAATTTTGAATTTTATAAAAAAAAACACAGTGTATAGCCTTAGATATATAAATTTTTTACCGAAAGATATAAAAAATGAATGTAATAGTAGGAAATTTTACTTAAAACAAAAAAATAAAAATAAAAAAAATTCCTAGTAGAAAAAGCAATTTACTCCTTGGAGGAATTTTACAATTTAAAATATTGTGAATAGACAATAAGTAACCACTGACTCTATTCTTTGTACTTGTACATTCATGAATAAAGGATATTTTGATTTGATTTGAACCCTTGAATGTGCCTTCAAATTACTTTTAGATTAATAGAATGTTCCACATGTAGTACGCCTACTGCAATTATGTGATCCCTCTCCTGTATGAATCAATGCATGTTGTGTCAAATCCTCTTTGCCTGGAAATTTGTGGTGCAACTATGTGATCTGTCTCCTGTATGAATCAATGCATGAAGATTCAAATGTCCTTTTTGTGCAAAGGATTTTCCACACGTGGTGCACTTATATGGCCTCTCTCCTGTATGAATCAATGCATGTTGGTTCAGATCCCCTTTACGTGTAAAGGATTTTCCACACGTGGTGCATTTATATGGTCTCTCTCCTGTATGTATCAATGCATGTTGTTTCAAAGTCCCTTTTTTGAATAGGATTTTCCACATGTGGTACACTTATATAGCACCTCTCCTGTATGAATCAATGCATGTAGTTTCAAATCCCCTTTGCCTATACAGAATTTTCCACACGTGGTACACTTATATGGCCTCTCTCCTGTATGTATCAATGCATGTACTTTCAAAGACCATTTTTGTGAATAGGATTTTCCACATGTGGTACACTTATATGGCCTCTCTCCTGTATGTATCAATGCATGCACTTTCAAAGACCCTTTTTGTGAATAGGATTTTCCACATGTGGTACACTTATATGGCCTCTCTCCTGTATGAATCAATGCATGTTTTTTTAAAGTTTCTTTTTGTGAATAGGATTTTCCACATGTGTTACACTTATATGGCCTCTCTTCTGTATGAATCAATGCATGTCTTTTTAAAGTTTCTTTTTGTGAAAAGGATTTTTCACATGTTGTACACTTATATGGCTTCTCTCCTGTATGAATCAATGCATGTCGTTTAAAATTTGTTTTTAGTGCAAAGGATTTTTCACACGTGATGCACTTATATTGCCTCTCACCTGTATGAATCAATGCATGTTGGTTCAGATCCCCTTTGTGTGCAAATGATTTTCCACACGTGGTGCACTTATACTTCCTAGAGTGCTCCAACAAATGATTCTTTACACTACCTTGTTTGACAAAGGTTTTCTCACATAATAAACATTTGAAGGGACGCTCACCCGTGTGTTACAATATGTGATTCTTCATTTCTGTTTTCTTTGAACAAATTTTTTCACATATTAGACACTTAAAAGGAAGCTCCCTAGTATGCTATAACATTTGGAATAAGCTGAAGGCTCAACTAATTAGTTGCCTTTGTTGTCTATTTAAATATATTCTTTGTTTGTAGGAATGGTTTAATTTTACAATCAAGTGGATTTATATCTCATACAACTTGAAATCTTATTTTGTTAGATCTTATATACAGTATGTACCTTTTAGATAATTTGCAACATTCTTGGGGTTTTGTATGTTCTCCCTTGACTTATACAGGGTGCGGCAGAAAGAACTCCCCTATTAGGAAAGCTAATAAAAACAAAACCAAGTAAGATATGACATTTTTATTGCTATTAACCAAAAACACACATTATGCCATTTAAAAAAAATATAAAATTATAGTGCTTTAAATAAAATGTCGTTTTAATAATCGATAATTTAAAATTATCGTGTTTTAAATAAAATCAAACTAAATTTTCATATTTTTTAATTATTATTACGTCTTAAAAACATGTAGGTAATTTAAACTATTGAAAATTATTGGATTTACCATTATAGTTTGTTCCAAAATTTAGGCTGTTTGATTTGTAATGGGGTTCCCTATTACTTCATTTTAAATGCTTTATCAATGTTGCCACTGATTTGGGTTTGTAAAAATGTTTGCTTATATTTAATGTTTGCATTATGTTTCTATCAGCAGAACGTAGAATTAATTAGTAGTAATTCTATAAAAACCCCTGTCGCAGCAAACCTGCAGAATAAGCGAATTTCTAAGCATTTGATTGTGTTCCTTTCAATATCTTACTTGACAAACTAAAATTTTATGGAGTTCAGGATCAATCACTTAGTATATTCCGGTCATACCTGAATGGTAGGAAACAGTATGTTTCCATTCAGGGTGCTAATTCCAATGTTGTTGATATCAAAATGGGAGTTCCCCAAGGTTCTGTGCTTGTGCCTTTCTTCTTTATAATAGCCATAAATGATCTTCCAAAGAATCTAAGATCTGAGTCAGTAATATATGCTGATGACACATTTTTGCTAAAAATTCTGACAAAATAGAGCTCTTCAGACAGGTGGGTGTAGCCCAGGGAGATGCATTAAACTGGTTTTCCACGAATAAACTACTTTGTAACTAAGGTAAAACTCAAAATATCATCCTCAGCACCTCTCTAAATCTAGATTTACAATCAGTCAAAACTATTGGGTATTCATATCGATTCCAAATTGTCTTGGCATGTTCACATCAACAACCTTTGTAAAAAATTTCCCGGGTCAGTTATCTATTTTGGAAACTCAGGGAATCTGTTGTCAGATGAATATCTCAGAATGACCTACTTTGGTTTATTTCAATCTCACATATCCTATGGGTTGGTTCTCTGGGGACATGCAACTGCTGTATCAGATGTTCTCCTGATACAGAAAAAGGTTCTTAGAACTATGTGCAGATTGGACCACTGTAGACTTTTATTTATACAAATGAAAATTTTAACAGTAATTAACTTATACATACTACATATTCTTATTTACACTAAAACTAATCTTCACCTTTTTCCCACCAGGCAAGAAATACATGAACATGAAACACACAACGGGACAAAATTAAATATTCCACAGCACAGATTGACAAAATTCGGCATATCACACAAGGCAAATTGCATTAAATTTTTTAACAAGCTGCATGAATCAGCAAGGACCTGCACACCCAAAATCTTAAAAAAAAGGTAACTGCTTGGCTTTTAGACAATCCCTTTTACGATACATATGAATATCTTAATACATGTATAGAAATTAGATTTTAGTTATATAGATGTATGACAATCTGTTTTAATTAACTGTATTAATCATATGACAATGCCCATTTCATGTACATGATCAACGGCAAATAAATCATTTCATTTCATTTCATTTCTATTTACCTGATTAGATATCCACTTAGATACTCCCTTAAAATTTAAAGATTTATTTAATACTAGCTGTTGTACCCATGCTTTGCAACGGGAAGAGGACACAAATAGAAACATTTTAATCTTTACATCTGTTGCATATAATAGTTACACATCCGCCAACGCTTTTAGAAACAAAATTCAACTTTTATGGTCTTAATAGAAACGTTTAAGTTACGACTTTTAAATCTGGTAAGTAGTGGATACCACCATTTTGGTTTTGATTAATTTTAAATCTTGTGTAGGCTGATATGAGAAAAAACTGACCAAATTTTCGATTAAATCTCTCACTTACATACATGATTAACCTTCTCCCTTAACTACATGGTATCTTTTTTCTTTATTTTTGACATTTTAAATTTCAATTTTGAAGTTGCAAAAATAGGAATTATTAAATTTAAATGAACATTTTTTTTAAATTTCACTCTCCTTCACATCAAATCACAAATCCTTCCATCTTCAGTTTGTTCACTCACAATAAATCATTAGCAAAACTAAATCAGCTGTTGTAATCTTTAGAAATATTGTTGTGCCTTATTAATAGTCTTTTGAAATATTACAGAAACTATATCTATACTATAAAAAATATTTAACAAATAATTTGCATTAAAGACAGGAGACGAAACAAATATGATTATCAAAGCATCAAGGACTAAAAATATAATAACATATACAGTACATGTTTCATTGCATCTCTGATTCTACTCTACAAAAATATCAATAAACAACTTAATATACAAACCAGTTCTTTTAATCAGTTCCATCGTCCATTGCCTTTACATTTTTACACTTACCATTAAGTAAACATAGTAACAGATATTTCATTGACTTTAGAAACAAAAGAACACTGTACTGTTTAGTTTTAGCGAATTTCCCTATAGGGAAGTAGCTATTACCGTAGGTCTCATGGTAAAACCTAGGCCGGGGACCGATTTACTTTTTCATTTTGATGTCCCCAGAGGCCAAAAACATCATTCGTTCAAATTTTTATATATATATATGTAATTTATATATGTATTATACATGTATTATATATATGGATTATTTAAATATATATTTATATATTTATGTTTATTTATATATGTATAAATTTTATATATATATATATGTATATATTTTATATATGTATATATTTTATATATATATATATTTATATGTCCATCCGCAAGATAACTTGAGTAATTTTTGTCCGATTTTGATAAAATTTTGTTTGAAGGTGTAAGGCGGGATAAACTTGAATGAGTTCGCGAACCAGCATGATCGGACCATGGGAACGGGGTTTCACGAGGGGTTTTATGGGGTAAAAATGGGTTTTTTCTAATTTTTTACCCTTAAAACCCAAAATTTATCAATTTTTCTCCAGACCTTTTTAAAGAGCATATAAAAACAAATAATTTAGTATATGAAAGTGTTTTTGTACGGTGATTGTTTACAGAGAAAATTCAAAAAATTGTTAATTTAAAATTCCCATGTTATTCTTATGGAGAATATTATAATATGTTGTAGTTGGCTTGTTTATGGATATATTTTGATCAAACTTGGCGCATTTATTTATTTCATACTAAGCTATTGATATTTTAATAAAAAACCCACTTTATTAGTTTCCCTGTAACAGCTAACCTAGGTACTCGTTACATTAATGTTAATTTAATAGATAAATTGAAAATCAATCCAGGCAAATTGAAATTCGCTTAGTCAGCAGGTTTGCTGCAGCAGGGGTATTATGATATTTTCCTTGGTTTAATTTAATCAGTGGTGTGGCAAACACAAATGATAATTTATCAAATAAAGTAAATGTGAACTGAAAGCTATGTTAAGATAAAAATAAGAGTATTTTGTATTACCATTTGATAATTAAATATAGTTACACATAACAGATTTTAGGAAACAAAAATCATACCTACATTTTAGTTATTGATGATATTCTTTAGTTTAATTTAAGCATAGGTTTAGACATGGGATAATGTCATCGTGCAAAATCTCACAATGCCTAAAAGCGTATACATGCTTTAGTGCATAATCTAATCTCATGTATCAGACACCAATTACAGTAATTACATTTTATTGATTATAACTACATTGCTGTGATTTGCCTTTATTTACAGTTCTACAGTTACAGTTGGAAGTCGTATGATGATAGATTGCGGAAGTATGGCTTTCAGATTTTAACAGTGAATAAAAATCACTAGAGTGGTAATCAATGGTGCTTGGTAAAAAATATATTTTTAAGACATACTGCAGAAAGTCAGTTACAACTGTACAATTATATATTTAACTACACTAAGCTAATCCAAACTAACCTAACCAAACCTAACTATCAATTTTCAAAATCCCATTAGTGCAGGCCCATGTTGTGGTCTTACAGAGTGTCTATTCTGTATGAACCCTTGAATGTGCCTTCAACTTACTTTTCGATTAATACGATTTTCCACATGTTTAAAGCCTACTGCAATGATGTGATCCCTCTCCTTGTATGAATCAATGCATGTCGTTTCAAATGTCCTTTTTGTGCAAATGATTTTCCACACGTATTACACATATATGGTTTCTCTCCTGTATGAATCAATACATGTATTTTCAAAGCCCCCTTTTCTGAAAAGGATTTTCCACATATGGTACACTTATATGGCCTTTCTCCTGTATGAATCAATACATGTCGTTTAAAAATTCCTTTGTGTGCAAAGGATTTTCCACACGTGATGCACTTATATGGCACCTCTCCTGTATGAATCAATGCATGTTCTTTAAAAATCCCTTTGTGTGCAAAGGATTTTCCACACGTGGTGCACTTATATGGTTTGTTTCCTGTATGAAAAAGTGCATGTCCTTTCAAATTTCCTTTGCATGCAAAGGATTTTCCACACGTGGTACACTTATATGGTTTTTCTCCTGTATGAATCAAGGCATGTTTTCTTAACGTCCCTGCTTGTGAAAAGGATTTTCCACACGTGGTACACTTATATGGTTTTTCTCCTGTATGAATCAAGGCATGTTTTCTTAACGTCCCTGCTTCTGAAAAGGATTTTTCACATTTGGTACACTTATATGGCCTCTCTCCTGTATGAATCAATACATGTTGTTTATAACTTCTTTTATGTGTAAAGTATTTTCCACACGTGGTACATTTATATGGCTTTGCTCCTGTATGAATCAATGCATGTTGTTTTAACGTCCCTGTTTGTGAAAATGATTTTCCACATGTGGTACACTTATATGGCCTCTCTCCTGTATGAATCAATACATGTACTTTCAAAGACGCTTTTTGTGCGAAGGATTTTCCACACGTAGTGCATTTATATGGTTTTTCTCCTGTATGAATCAAGGCATGTTTGTTTAATGTCCCTGTTTGTGAAAATGACTTTCCACATGTGGTACACTTATATGGCCTCTCTCCTGTATGAATAAATGCATGTCGATTAAAATCCCTTTTGTAAACAAAGGATTTTCCACATGTGGCACACTTATATGGCCCCTCTCCTGTATGAATCAAGGCATGTTTTCTTAACGTCCCTGCTTCTGAAAAGGATTTTTCACATTTGGTACACTTATATGGCCTCTCTCCTGTATGAATCAATACATGTTGTTTATAACTTCTTTTATGTGTAAAGTATTTTCCACACGTGGTACATTTATATGGCTTTGCTCCTGTATGAATCAATGCATGTTGTTTTAACGTCCCTGTTTGTGAAAATGATTTTCCACATGTGGTACACTTATATGGCCTCTCTCCTGTATGAATCAATACATGTACTTTCAAAGACGCTTTTTGTGCGAAGGATTTTCCACACGTAGTGCATTTATATGGTTTTTCTCCTGTATGAATCAAGGCATGTTTGTTTAATGTCCCTGTTTGTGAAAATGACTTTCCACATGTGGTACACTTATATGGCCTCTCTCCTGTATGAATAAATGCATGTCGATTAAAATCCCTTTTGTAAACAAAGGATTTTCCACATGTGGCACACTTATATGGCCCCTCTCCTGTATGAATCAAGGCATGTATCTTTAGGTTGTATTTATTTGATAAGGATTTTCCACATTTATTGCAATTGTAAAAAGAATACTTCCTAGAGTGTTTCAACAAATGAATCTTTACACTGCCTTGATTGACATAGGTTTTCTCACATAATAAACATTTGAAGGGACGCTCACCCGTGTGTAACAATATGTGATTCTTCATTTCTGCTTTCTTTGAACAAATTTTTTCACATATTAGACACTTAAAAGGAAGCTCCATAGTATGCTATAACATTTGGAATAAGCTGAAGGCTCAACTAATTAGTTGCCTTTGTTGTCTATTTAAATATATTCTTTGTTTGTAGGAATGGTTCAAATTTACAATCAAATGGATTTATATCTCATACAACTTGAAATCTTATTTTTTAGATCTTTTATACAGTATGTACCTTTTAGATATTTTGCAAGATTCTTGGGGTTTTGTATATTCTCCCTTGACTTATGTTATGTTCCATCACTAAACCTCAAACAAAATAATCTGGTTTTTTTATATTTTTTATTATTATTATGTCTTAAAACGTAACATTTAAAACTCTAGAATTTGTCCTTGTATTCACAGTGTAATGGCAACATTTCCCCGTATGATCGGTTGTTTAAAGCACTATATCAGAGATTAACTCAATTGGTTTCCTTGCAGTACACCGAGGCTCTTTTTTCAAGTGTGGCTGATGTATTGTCATTTCTGAAAAAAATATTCTTTGTTAAACATATTTATTTATCATTTAGGATACACATCAACTCAATAGCGTATCTTCTCTTAAACTATATATTTATAATACTGACTTAATGTAATAAATGTGAAGCAAATTTGGCATTATGATAGTTCATATTCCCGATTAACATATAAGCCTATCCTTATCTGTGACACTTAGCGCCACTATTTCATATAGTGCTTCACAACAAAATTGCCTGCCTTCCCAATCAGCTCGTCTCTTTCGATCTGCCGCTTTTTTCCATAGAAACGGTAAAGGAGTTACGGAATCAAGAATCCTTCCGTCTTGTCTCTCCGGCCCTGGTAGGATCAGCCGTGTTCCTCCCCTCACCAAACTCTATGACTTTCTTAATCTTAACTCAGGATAAGTCTTTAAATATTAAGTAGATCTAAGATTAAAATGACATGCTAGATTAACAATTTAAGGGGAAGCCAGTAGGCTTTCGCCCCATTATCAGAAATGCAAATTCCAAAAAGTATGATTTTCTTGCTTAAGAAGGTACGCAATAGTCACAACGTTGAAAACCTAAGTATAAAATTATTCAGGAATTGCCTTAGGAGTCCAAATCTGTTCAATTAGGAGTTAGGGAACACAACAGACCTATTTTACTGATAATATAAAATACCCCCGACGCAGCAAACCTGCAGACGAAGTGAATTTCAACTTGTCTGATTACATATTTACTAAAATATTTCCATTAATAAGCGAGTACTTAGGTTTGCTGCTACGGGAAAGGTAAACAGTTTTTTTTGACTGGACAATGGGAACGGGGGTTTATGGGGTAAAATTGGGGTTTTCCCATTTTTGACCCAAAAAAACATACTATTTTGGAATATATTTCACAACCATTTTGTAGAACTAAAAAAATAAATAATTTAGTATGTTGAAGCATTGTTGTATGCCTAGTGGTGACGGAGAAAATAAAAAAAATGCAAATTTAAAATTCTCATGTTATTCTTATGGAGAAGATGAAAACTGTTTTAGTTTTCTTGTTTATGGATATATGTTGACCAAATTTTGAAATTTTATTTATTTCATCCTATACTATTGACGTATGGTCAAAAACACTGTTTACCTTTCCCGTAGCAGCAAACCTAAGCACTCGCTTATTTATGGCAATATTTTGATAAATATGTAATCAGTCAAGTTGAAATTCGCTTTGTCTGCAAGTTTGCTGCGGCGGCGGTATTTGATATTATCAACAAGTTTGATCGGTTGTGTTAGGTGATGTCAGTTTAATTAAAAATTGTAAAATTAGTCTTATAAAAAAAATAATATAATTTTCTTAAGTCGACGTGAGGGGCTCTCGCACAATGCCTGACTCCTTTGCAGAAGAGGTTTACATTGGTTTCTGACCAGGCGCCTTAGACACGCTAGTCTCGGCGCGCAGTGTCACATTTGATGTTCACCCTACTTGGACAGTTGAAAACTCGGACAGTTGATTTATCTAATTATTATTAGTTATTTATCAAAACTCGGACAAATGAAAACTCAGACAACTGATTTTTCAAATATTTTGTAATTTTTAACAAACTCGTACAGTTGAAAACAAATGATGTGATCCCTGAATTTATATTTGGTATATCTATTAACATTAGAAGGAAATGTGACAAAAATCACACAACGTTGGGTTTTTGGATGTTTGTAATTTTATTTCTTAAGTACCTAGGTAGGTATTCTAGGGAAAAGTACCGGTATCAAGGATCGTCGTCGAAAAGGTTGTTATAAATAACGAGATGTTAGCCCGTCCTACGTACGGGAATTCAGTAGCCTTTTTGAAAGTCTTGGCCTTGAAATATAAAAATTACAAATTTCACTGCAACTATAGTACAGAGCTTTAAGGAAATAAGTAATTTTGATTAATGAAAGGTTGCTGTAGAATTTAAGTTTACGGGGAAAATAAAAAATCTGTACATTTAAAATTCCCTATATTATTGTCATGGAGAATAAGTCAACTCTTGTAGTTTGAATGTTTATGAATATATTTTGATCAAATTTGGTTAATGTATTTATTTCACTCAGCTACTCACAAATCACTAAAATTGACCCTCAAACCCTATAATAATGGAAACAAAATTTCAGATATGCAAAACACACTTTTTTAAACTGGAAGAGAAGTCTACCCGTGTTTGTTAGTTTATGATTTTATCTATGTTGATTCGGAAATTATCAACTCTATTCCAAAAAATAATTTTATATAGACGAGGTGTTAGCCCGTCCTACGTACGGGAATTCAGTAGTCAGTTAAAACCATGTATAATTCAGATCAGCTAGTTTACACATATAATGACAAAGTTTCTTGCAGTTTTAATGTGAAAAATCATCTTGTAAACAAATGTTGTGTGACCAAATATGTTTTTATTCCATCATAGGCCAATACGATATGCATTTTAAATCCGATAATTTTACAATCAAACAGCAATTCTGCAATTTTTACGATGTGAAAAGCGTTGAATAGATTTGCAGCCGATTCGCACAGACGCACAGTGATTATAAGTAGCCTACAGTAGAGAGAGTAATAGTCAATTGAGAAGTGTATAGACCTAGTCAACGATACCACCTTCCATAGCATACCTGCCTCTTCCATAATTATTATCACCACAATACAACTACTATACACAATTTCCAGTAGGTCTGAATAGAAACGACCTAAAATAAAACGATAATATCCAATAAAATTCACAGTACACATAAATCGTCACAACTATCATTTATATTAATTTCACTGCATTAATTGATAAATAAATAAGTGTAAACAAAGAAAAGTAAAAATAATAACAGTTTGTTTTGAAACAGCTGTTTGGTTCAAATAACATTCATTTGAAAAAAAAAGAACTCACGATTACGAAAAGAACTGGTCACATGTAGCAGGAATATAAATAATAAGTAAACACGCTAGTAAAGCTAATGACGTAATTGTCAATGTTTATTATCCATACCGTTATCAGTTCTATCCTTAATAATTACCCACTCTCATTGAATAAGTGTACATCGTAATTTCCCATATTATTTCATTTAAACTAAAATATATTCATAGTTGAAATAAAAGTGATATTTTCACGTTTGGGGGCGCTGATAGGTACCCCCAAACGTAACCACACTGAACACGATTTCATAAAGGATGGTTTGTCTAATTGCAGTATCCTAGGTCAATGTTGACGTTGTGTTCAATCTTTGTATAAAGCTCGGCTGATGTTGTGGTGGTAATTTAAAATCGTGATTCCTGATTATTCTTGATCTTCTTTTTATGACATCAATATTTCCGGCCCTAATCCAAATAAAGTTAAAGCAGACAAACATTTGTAAACAAAAAGCTACCATGAAGAATTAAAACATGTAAACATTGTTATTTTTCCATTCTTTCCTCAAAAAGTGGAATAGTAAAATAATTTGAATTTATCCTTTTTTATTAAGACTCGTGTACAGAGCCTCGATTTGTACTGTGGTTTAATTAATTTTTGTCTAAACTATTTTAAACTGTGATCTAATTATCTCTACTAATCTTACTTATTTCCTATAATCAATGACAAAATAAGAGTAGATAAAATAACCTCATAGTTCCATAGTTTATATTTAACCAGCTGTTAGTTAAAACAAATTATATTGCTCTAAAACAAATCGAAGATTACAAAGATTGCTTTAAAAACATAATTTGAACATCCTAGTATTTTACTATGTATAATTTAATTAATCTATCATCCTCTTACAGAAGAATTGAACGTATCAATGATTTGCATTACACATAGTATAAATAAGTCAACCCTAAGTATGTCTTTACATTTTTATCCAAATGCTGAATTTGTGACACAAAAGCTGAATGTTATACAGCTGTTATGTTAAGCAAATTATTTTATGCCAAAAGCTAGTTTAGAATCTTAGCGTCGGCTGCTAGACTTTTTAAAAATTAAAACTTAATTTCTAAAAAAGTGGGACCCTAAACTAAATTTATGGCTTTGACATTCCCTAGTTCTAAAAATTATTTTTCTTTCAACACAAAAATCATGAAAATCCGTCGAGTGGTTGATTCAGAATCGTGAAATAAAAAACACTGTTTCGTTTTAATATTATAAATAATTGGGTAAGCGTACGTACCCAAGAGATGGGCTATGGGCCTATTGGCTGTATGGTCCAGCGATTGCATCACTCGGTGAGTAGGAACTATTAACTATTGACTATTTATAGTCAATGGTAGGAACAGAAAGTGACACATTGGAAAATCGAGTTTAGCATCATCCGTAAACCTCTGTTACAATCACCCTTTGCAGTTGTGATTTTTTACTTTACACTTTACACAACCGCCGTCAATGAGTGGAACCTTGTTAAGCTATTGGCGATGATCATTAATAAATTTAAGTTTCCCAGCCGTATACAACACTGATTCAATGTCTTCTTTCTGGTTATCAAAACTCCAGAACAATTTTATACACAAAAAGAATCTCTGGTTCCTGACCTGGATGATGCCTAGTTAATTAATTTAATTTACGGTTACACTATATTATTCCACTTGCGATTAATTAAATCCTTTATGTAAGAAAAACGTTTTTAATCTCACTTGAATGGGATTTGCCTTTAAACGTGATCGGGAATGGTTGCGGTATTTGTAAACAACATTTGTAAACATATCAGTGACAGCTAGGAAAAATAATCTTGATCCGAACTGCTGTTCGTTATTTCATAGATGATTATGTGATAAAAATTGGACGAAAATTTGATAAAAATCGCTCAAAACTGCATTTTTGAACGTCTGTAATTTTATTTACAAAGTAGTGAGGCCATATTTTAATGGCTAAAGACACTCTCGCCAATAATAATATAATGACTCTCGCCAATCCAGTGAATACATTAAAATGACTTGGATCTTGATAGGTAATCTCGTTTTCCTGGAGAAGATTGCGTAAAATGCCATCTTGAGTGTTACAGACAGTCAGACAGACAGAAATTTAGATGAGACTTGTTTCGGCTTCTTTAA